TCTTTTGCTCAAGTCAGTTTTTGGTAAAACAAAAAACCAAAAGTGATTCACTGAAAACTCACATTTAAGGCATAGTTAATACTGTATCACTAAAGTAACTGATGTGTGCTTCATTTTTACCCTCCTTTTCTCCCATTCCTATGCTCTTCCTCAACCTGTCCCTGCAAAATAAACCAGCAGAGGTTAAATGTTTGGCAAGAAAGTAGTCATTTCTTCCACTTCAGTTAGCAGGCTGAATTGGCTCCTCATGCCATCAAACAGCAGAGGGAGCGAAGGAGGAGCAGTGCAAGCGCACGACCAGGGAAAGACCACCAGGCACCAGCTCAGTAAGTAGCTCAATAGAGTGGCTCCATCACTGACCCTTTAGATCCTTTTAAAAGCAATAATAAACTACAGCCTTAGGTTCTTGGGTGGCAATATTTCAAAACTACTATATATACACTTGATTTTATTCATTTTTAATCGCCATGGGCATTTCCAAAAGAACTTGACAGCTGCCTTTACCAGACACCATCTCATGCAGCCATATAAAATCTCAAGTGCTTTAATTGTAAATCCCAGATACGTGCTAAAGGCTGAGAGCCATTTTAATGAAGGCTGGTGTTCTTCTCCATCTATAGCAAGGATGCAAACTTAACCACTCAGATGCTGACAGCTTATAAATGCCTTCCCACAACTCCCCCATGTGTTCAGAAAAGAATTTCTTGTGTGCACAGCGGGAAATAGGCTGTTCAATATCCAGCAGCACAAGGCACTGAAACACAGAAGCTCAAAAGCCCTAAAACATAGAAGAGCATATCTTATCAGAATATCTTTTAAATATATTTGCAATCACATTCAGCATATGACCAGCCAGGACAGAGCATGACCACTCTTGCCTTCCGGGGCCTCATTATCTCCTTTTTTTTTTTTCCCTTCTCATTTTCTAGCACTATTTCCACGCTTCTAAAAATCACGATCAGATTTTATCATTTCATTATTTCCATTCCTCAAAGAGCATCACCATTTGCAATTACATACTGTTTAATATACTTGCATGAATTCTTGTTGCATTCAATGAAACTGCCCCCAACTAAGAACTTGTTCATAGATGTCAAAATTACAGATAATAGCCAGAGCACAGATCTCTGATCACATCTCTGAACACACAGTCTGAGGGTGTCAAAAAAGAACAAAGATTCACTTTATATATTGTTTTACACAAGCCTAAAAATTCCAAGTACTACATAATAGAAGTGTAATATATACACATCTATTTAAGATAAATTCTACCTTTCTCCTATTTCTTTTCACATTACTGAAATGGTATTCAAAGTGACCAGCTGGGATTCCTGCTTTATGAAAGTTGCAACAGTAAAGAAACAAACTTCTAGAACAGCCCAAAAAGTTATTTAATATCAGAATGTGACCAAGGAAGTGCTTCAGGCCCCACCCAACTGAACTGTTGGTAACTGCTGTTCTAATCATAAACCCCAACTGATGGTTACACAGCATCATAACAGACACTGCACTACACCTCACTCATACAGTGATCACTTTTGACTGCGTTTCTTTAACTTGACTTCCAGATTTCCAATTAACTGAAACACATTTCTTTAAGGCATTAAATGCCCCTGATGTTTCTCCTCAAATAAATCATCAAATAAAACAGTACATAAGTAAAAGTTATACTGTACCTTAATATTTTAAGAGCTTGACTTTGTGATTCACAAACTGCGAATTAAGCTTGCCACCAATCCTGTTAATCTAGTGCTATTTAACATTAACTGAAGACTATTTCAACAGAGCATAAATAAGAGTATATAGACAAAGCCTCAAGTAATTTGAAAGGATTCAACACGTTTGGGTATCTCAGAAAAACGTTCCAATCACAACACGGTCTAAATGTATGAAAGAGCATTTGAAAAAGGCATGGACTAAGAACTTATTTTGAAAATTCCATATTTCCAGTACCTGCATGGTTTCAAACTATACACCTTTAAAGAGAAGTATTACTTAGCTTCAGGATTTGAGGAGAACCAGTGAACACAAGAGGAGCCATACACAATTGAGCACAGGTATCTTTTGCTCCCAGTTGTTTCCAGTTTGAATTGTTCTCACAGTGACACTGATAAGAACCTGATGTTTTTCTTTTTCCCCAGGATTAACACTCCCAGAAGAAAATCTTTTAAATGAAAAACTCTGTTTTTCAGTAATAATGTGTAGTACTTAAGAAATTATAGAAATATAATTAGAAGCTAATTGATACTTCTAGTATTAAAAGAACTTCAATTCAACAGTCACAATAAACTTCCCCCTTTGTCCAGGAAAGCTTTATGCTGAGATGCAGATCAGCCATCATTCCTAGGCTCCTACCCAGCATTATCAAGCTGTTTCAAGGTTGCTCTGTCTTGTCAAACACTGAATGCCGCTAAAATGAGAATCACTTCTTAATGCCAAGAACACTGAAGGTGCCCATTGTTCTCTCAAAGAAAATAACTATAATGCAAACTTTCTGAACAAAATACATTTCATGAAGTCACTTCTACCTATCCAGAGCATAGCTCACAAGTTAAAATGCTGTGAACTTTGAAGCATACTTGCCTGCCTACAACTCTCACAACTGTTAATGAATCACTGAATTAATTGTGCCAGCAGTTTAGTTTAGAAAAGAAGAAGGCCTTGAAAAGCATGCTAATAATTCTCTTAACTTAATAGGAGTCACAAGGGAAAAGTCATGAAGAAAATCTTTTGCTTGCTTCTAACGATATAAATAACGGGATGAGTTGTGCTCCTGCAGATGGCTTTGCCCATTATCACAGCATCACCTCGCTGCCACAAGCACAGCCTGTGGAACTTCTCCCGTGCTCTGATGTTACTTTTTGATAAAGCGCAGAAGCCAGGATTCAGAGTCAACTCTTTGTTCACAAACCGACATGCTGATACACAGAAAGCCGGGATAAAGAGAAGTGCCAAACCAAACAGAGGAAACCAAACAAGAAACCCTATAAGCTGCCGCTCCACCCATCCTGTGCAGGAAATAGCCCCGAAATCCACTTCACTGTGTGAAAAACCGAAAGTACTTTCCTGTCGTGTCTCGACCTTGGTTACAGGCTATCAGAACGGGTCGGGACGTTACCGCAGAGCTCCCCAGCCGAGAAGCACCCGCAGCGGGAGCCCGTCCAAACTTCCCGTCTCTATGTCAGAGCCCAGCAGCAGGGTTCCCCCCGGCCTAGGGCCGGGCACAGCGTCCCGAAGGCACGGCCGCTTCCTCCGTCCGTCACCCCGCACAGCCCGGCCCGGCAGGCTGCTCCCCGAGGCGAGGCGGAAGGAGGCGGCCGGACGGGAGGGCAGCGGCCCGCGGCACCGCCGCCAAGTCCCGAGGAAGCGGAGCGCCGGCCGAAGCGCAGCAGCTCGGGGAGAGGGAAGGGAGGACGGCGCAGCCAAGAGAGGAGGCGACGGCCGCCTCGGCCTCCCAGGGCGCATCCCGGCAGTGGGGCTCGGGCGCCGGGCCAGCCGCAGGGAGAGCGCCGAGGCGGAAGGAGCGGTGCGGGCCCGGCCGAGGGGGGGGGGGGGAGCGCCCCGGGCGGCGGCTCAGCCGCGGCCTGCCGCCCCGCGGAGAGGGCCCGGCGGCCCCGGGAAGGGAAGGGAGGAAGGCGGAGGCGGAAGGCCACGTCCCGGCCGAGGCCCCGCGGTCCGAGCGGGCCCGGCCGCCCCTCACCTCCGGCGCCCGCCGCCCAGGAGCACAGCAGGATTATCGTCCTCGCCAGATCCATCTTCTCCGGGCCCAGGCCCCGCCGCCGCCTACCCACAGCGCATCCGCCCCAGCCGGCGCCGGGATAGGGAGGGGCGAACGCCTCGCCTCCCGCCGCTTTGTCCCCGCGCTCCGGGGGCCGCTCGGCTTCCACCCGCGGATCAGCCGGGACCGAGCGGCGGCCGCACCCGGCGCTTCCCCCGCGCCGCTTCCTTCCCCGCACCCGTCCGAGCGACGCCACCGGCGGGGCCGCCGCCGCGCGCTCTGGGCGTGTCCCGCGGCTCCGTGACACGGGGGGGGGCGGAGCCAAGCGGGAGCGAGGGCGGGAGCGCCGCCCGCCTTAAAGGCGCAGGGCGCCCCCCCGCGGGGGAGGAGGACCAGGCCGCGCCTCCGCCGCACGGCGCGAGAAGCCCCTCGGCGGGCGGCGAGGCGTCGCTGAGCGCGCGCGGCCCGCGGCGGTGCGGGGGGGTCCGGGCCGCCTCTCCGGGTTCCCCCGCTCCATCTCCGTTCCGCTTCTCCCCTCAGAACCGCCCTTCCCGCAACGCGGGAGAAGTTTGTGATGAAACCGGTTCTCGGAACGCGCGTTTCCCAGTTCCCCAGGAAAGTTGCGCGTGGGAAGCCCCGCCGCGGCGAGCGGACCTCGGAGCGCGGGCGGAGCTGGGCGCGAGAGCAGGAGCACGGCGAGCGCTCCCAGAGCGCGCTCACACCGTGCGAGCGGCCGCGGGGCGTGGGCGACCACTGGGAGGAGAAATACCTCCGTTGTTCTGTGCGACTGTGTTAGCTCTTAAATCGTCATCTTCACCACAGCCGCCTGTACCATCGGAGGGAGACGCTTACAGCCACAACAAAAGGCTCTCGCGCCCGCACAAGAAAGCGAAACCCGGCAGTGCGGGGCAGCGCCCGGCCGCGCCCTGCTTTACCTCAGCCCCGCCGGGCAGGGCGCCGCGCGCCGCCCGTTCTGCGCAGGCGCGGGGCCGAGGCTGCACGGGCGGGGCGGGGCGGGGCGGTGCCGGCCTGCTGCGCCTCAGACGCCCGGTGCGGCCCGCGCAGCGTTTCAGGACGGCCGCGGGTTCGGCTGCCCCGCCTCGTGCCGCCCCTTCCGGCCTCGTGCTGCGGCGGCGCGCCCCTCCCGTCCGCTCCCCCTCGGCTCTCCCCGCCGCCCTCCTCCCGGCCCGGCCCACGGCCGCCCTGGCCCCGCCCTAGGGGCGCCCCCGCCCCGGGCCCCGCCGTGACCCGCGGCTGCTCCCCGCTCCCGCCCACGCGTCCCCGGCGGGGCGGAGCCGCCGCCGCTGTCATGGCGTCTCGGGATCCGTCGGCGGAGATTCGGCCGCCGCGGTGCCACTAGAGCGCGGAGCAGCCGGGCGGCCGCCGGTCCGGGCATGGAGAGCCTGGCGCAGCCCCCGCCGCCTCCGGGCCCGCTGAAGAGCGGCGGCGGGGGCGCCGCCGAGCGGCTCCTCCCAGGAGAGGCGGCGGCCGGCGGCTGCCGGGACGGGCCCGCCGAGGAGGGCGGCGGGCGACGCAGCCCGTCCCCTCCGCCGGCCCCCGCGGCCCCTCGGGAGGCGGCTCCCCCGCGGGGCGCCGAGAGCGCGGGGCCGACGCTCCCGGAGAGCCCCGGGGCGGCGCCGGGTTCGGAGAGCGGCACGGCGGGGGCCGGCTCCGGGAGCAGCGGGGCCGCCAGCCCCCCGGGGGAGGAGTCCCGCAGCCTGGACTCGCTGGAGTCGTTCTCCAACCTGCACTCCTGCTGCCCCAGCGGCTCCGAACTCAACAGCGACGCCGAGGAGGCGGTGGAGGCCGCCCCGGGGGGCCCGGCCCCGCAGCACGATGCGGACAGGCCCGCTGCGGGCGCGCAGCTCCTCGCCGCCTCCAAGGAGCGCTTCCCGGGGCAGTCGGTGTACCACATCAAGTGGGTGCGCTGGAAGGAGGAGAACACGCCCGTCATCACGCAGAACGAGAACGGCCCCTGCCCCTTGCTGGCCATCATGAACGTGCTGCTGCTGGCCTGGAAGGTGCGGCGCCATCGCGGGGCGGGAGGCCGGGGCACCTGCGGCCGTGTGCTGCGGGGAGGGGGCCGGCTGCGGGGTGAGCCGCTGCTCTGCGCCTCGGTGGCGCTGGAAACTGAAGCGGTGCTTTGGTAAAACTGGGTTAATATTGAAGGGAAATACGCGCGGGTTTTTGCAAAACGCGAAATTTGCACAGATAGCTTGCTGAGTAAGAGGGATCCGTCTGTGGAGTTGTGTGGCGGGGGTGGTGATGAGTGAAGCGGGCTGTGCGCAAGCGGTGCTTTGGGGCCTGGGAGTTCTTATGGTCTGGTAGGCGTTGTGCGTATGACTCCCTGGGGTCGTAGAGTAAATCCTTTGTAACTTCTAAATCCTTAAAATAGAGAACTCGACTGTAAGGTATGTTATAGCTGTTGATGTTTATGTAAAAGAAGTACCGTCAGAGCAGAGGTGTTATTGTTGTGTGCCTTACGAAACAAGGAAGTGGGGTCTCAAGAATTGCTGCTAATGCAACCCTGAAGAATTGGTGTGAGGTGATGAGACCTGAGAATAGGGAAATTTCATGAGAGTGTTTTGTTCTTGTAGAATCAAGGAAAGAAAATGAGGTGTTGTAGTGGTTGGAGGCTTTTCACAGATATAATGGATTACCTAGTGTTCTCATTTTGACCTTTTTCCAATAAGAAAGCATTTGTTCACAGAAGTAGTCTTTCAGAAGGTTAATGTTGGATGGGGCTTCTTGTATCTGTACGCCTTCCTGAGCGGAATAGCTCGTGGGTCAGGAGGAATGCTGTGGGTTCCATGATGTAGCTATTGAGACCTTTCTGAGAGCAGTACAGGGGAGCTGTGGGTGGCACAAAATTGTTGTCTTATGCAAGTTTTGCTTACCTCAGGAGGATGTATGGGTCTTTGTAGACTTCAGTATTTAATATTTTCTTTGTATGCTTCCTCTTTAATGTATAGGGATGAGTGCAGGGCCTTGAAGAACTGGTTCAGCATCATTCTTTGTAGTGGTGGTGTTTTAGAAAATGTGGCTGGTCCCAGGATGTACCTTTTTAAGTGTTATTTAATGAAAGGATATAAATGGGACAGCGCTGTTCTTGTTGCTTGTTCTTAATTTTTAAGAGGTTTTGTTCCTTAGTGTTCTTCCTTTCCTTCCATAAATATATAATTACTTTCTTCTATTGCCTTCCATTCCAGAACTTTATCTGACATTCTGCTTTGATCAAATGCTATTTTAGCAAGAATGAATGTGGCATCAAAATTTATAAGTAGGTGAAAATGAAAAAGCCTCGTTGGAGTGCCCTTACGTTTCTTGTTGTTGGGACTATAGAAAGGGTTTTCTGTAATTCTGTTTATGTAAAACCTCAGCAGAATTTATATGACTTCAGGACAGCCAGCAATTCATCACTGTAGGTGAAGCTGCCAATATATGACTAGTTATGTACTTTGGGATTTTCTGATTAGTTGGTTCCCTTATTTAGGGCCTCTCCAAATTATCCTTTCTCTTCCCCCGTTTATAGTCAAGAACCACGCTGACATGGTTTGTGGAGGCAAGCGTTGTGGCAGCTCACCTGTGCATCACTGTCAATTGTCAGTTATACACCAAGGCTGACAATGGGCTTCCACATTGCTCTCACTCCTCCTGAACCAAAATGAACACTAGATTGGGTCATGTAATCATAATTTGGGAATGAGGGAGCAAACCAGGAGATAGAAATAGGCAAAAGCAGAGTGAGAGTACCAGAGAATGTGGCAGGTGAGAGAAGCCACTTGGCTGAGGGAAAAGACTGTAGTGAAAAGGAGGAGGGGAAATCAAGCTGAAATAGAGAATAGCAAGCTAGAGAGTTTCATCTTGGTGCTTCTTCCCTGTGTTTGCCACCAGCCTTCCTAATTCAGAATTCCACCCTGATGGAGCTGAGTTAGTATTTTCCTACAGGATGACTAAAAGTCTCATATAGCTTCAGATGACGCATGCGAGTGCTCAGAGCTGAGAAATGTTATGATTACAGCACTAGTTCTTAGGTTTTTATGAATACTTCCAATAGAATGTCCAATTACGTGCTTTGCTTATCCCAGAATGGGAGTGATAACTTTGAGATCCATCACTGTGTGTACTAGTTGTGCTTGTGCAGTGGCAAAAGTTGAACGTACATTGCTTGTGTTGAGTTGCACGTGGTCAATTTGTTTAAAACCAAAATTGGTATTTATTTCTTAATAGTCTCAGCCATCATCGTGGAGATGTTTGTGCCTTAAAAATGTGAAATGCTTGGGTTAATTGAGAACTCGCTTTTTCAGATGTTTCAGCTCCTCAAAATTCAAGTTCCTTACCTCTGCATGCTGACAGCTTTGTGATCTGCTGTTTGTGTGTTCCGTTTGCCCTCTGGAAGAGTTTTTTGTCAGTCCCTCTAAGTGAGGGCTATAGGTAGTTTATTACTTTGCTTATCTCAATAACTGGATGTAGGAAGATCTCTTCTACTTGAAGCAAGTGTGTTGCACGCTCAAAGTAAATATTCCTAGTGAATTTGAAGATCTTGTTCATTAAATGAATAAAATTCTAACAACTGCTCAATTTTTACAGTATCTGTGGGAGGTATTTTTGAAATCAGTTTCAACATCCTCATTTCGTGTTATAAGTCTAAAGACTGCTTCAAAATAATTGTTTCTTTAAGTGTACAGTACCTGTATATTCTTACCTGTGAGACTCGACAGTGAGTTTTTGGAAATTCTGAAGTAGTAGCACACATTGGGATTCTTCAATAACTTTTCAGTAGAACCAGATTTTTCAAACAAAACTTGTTGTAAAATTGCTACCTCTCATATCCACTGCTTCCAAGGGAGTCTGGACATACAGCTCTGTGGTGTCAGATTGTGCAAGTTGTACTTTTAAATGTTACAATTATGGAATAGTTTTTTTTTCTCTCTGCAGACTGCTTGTAGAGCCCTTAGGAGATAGAGCTGAGGGGTTATTAATGAAACGTTACAGAAATGCTCTGAATCAAAAGTAACCAAAAGCAGTATGATAGGAAGTTGGATAAGTAGCTGTTGTGCAAAGCAGTGTGGTAATAATATAGGCTTCTGCGATAGAAATGAAAATAGGAGTAGAATATTGAAATAAAAAGTTCAAAGTGTATCTAGAAGCATGGGTTTTCTGGAATAGAGCAGCCTCGAGTACCTTTTTTCAGCTCACTTCAGTCTGCAGACTTGCAGTGTTTCTTCACAGCTCCAGCTATGTGCTTTCACTTTGCAGAGCAAAGCCTGCTTTTCTGCCTCCTTTTGTGACATTTGTTAGGTGTAGTCCACTCATTGCTTTCTGATACCTTCTGAAATTGCATTAAACTGCAATTCTATGTTCATCTTAAGATCTACTGTGTGGTGATCTTCAGTTGCTAAAAGCCTAGTGAATATGCAGTGTAATTCTGCTCTGTGTTCCTCAGGTAGGACGTGTACAGAAAATACTTACCTGAAACATCCAGAGAAAATAGGACATATTTTGGAATATAAAATAAGCCTAGGGGAAAACATTTTAATACAAATATAATTAATAGTACTATTACTGAAGCCTTGGAAAGCAAGTACGTGGTGAAGTATGTAGAATATCTTCTTGTTACGGGTTTTTGTGTAGGAGAATAGTTCAAGTAGTATACATCATTGACAATATATTTCAAAGTTATGCGAGTCACAGCCTTATCAACAGAAAGAAGGTTTTGGGAATGATGTTCCCTACGTGCGTAGTTCTTCTAAAATTTGGTAACTTAGAACTCTATGAACTGCCTATTTAGATGACTAACAGTTACGTAAGTAAACGTTATATAACCACTTTTGCTTAGATATATCCAATCTGAGGTGCAGGAACAGGTAGAGTAAAAAAATTTCTTGCTGGAAATGTTCTGTTTGAGGTTCTCATAAAATGTCCTGCTTTTCAGAGTAGCTCAGTGCAGTATGCTCCTGCTGATACCCATTTGGTTTGTTGGAGTCTGCAGTGGTAGCGCCTAGTTTGACGTCTGGCATTGGCCCTATATGTGTGATCTGCTTTTTCTTTTTATTGAGCTGAACCTCCCTATGGCCAGAATTCGCACAGATTGCTCGTATGAACTCAGCTTCCAAGGACAAGACGCCAGTAAGCTTCTGATGAGTGCTCAGCAGAGGCCTTGGCAACCTTCCTCCCTGCATCTGTGAGATGAGTTGAGCTTACAAATCAGCGGCCCTACAATTGTGTTTTCTAGAGCAGGAAGTCTGTTTGAAGGGACTGAAGGAAATCTGATTGGGAGGAAGATATTGAAATTATCAGGTGATAGCAAAAGCATCAGGCGATTGTGATAAGTTTATGAAGCTTTCTCTGCAAGGCAAAAGGTGGGTTGTCCTATGTGGAGCTAGGAGCTGGACTCAACGATCCTTTTGGGCCTCTTTCAACACAGGATATTCTATGAGTCTGTGTGTTTGCAAGAAATATGAATCGTCTTTAGCTGGGGCGGGTTGAAGCTATGCTTACCTCTTCCCAAACATGAATTCAAAGGAGTAGCAAATAAGTGCCTGGCTGCTTTCCCGTTAACCTGCTATGGGGGATGTGGTTTAGTGAGGAGGATGGACTAGGTGATTTCCAAAGGTCCCTTCCAACCTCTGTGTTTCCGTGTGACTATAACTAGAAACTATAAGTAGAAATTTTTATGTCCCCTTTCTCTATACACAAACACAAACTTTTTTGGAAGTGTTAGTTTCAGTACAGGACTATATCGCTTAATTTTTAAAGTCTTTTTGAAGAGCTTGGAGAATACAGTGGAGATTGTCTAAAGGTACAATTTAATTTTGCAGTCATTGTCTAATGCACAGAAGCTGCATAGGCTTTGTCAGACTAACTCTTCAATATGAACATTTATCAACCGCTTTTTAATTACAGAGGTGACTCAACTGTACCTCACATAGTTGGGTAATAAAGACTTAGTTTCTTACTCAGAAGAAAGAGGGAAAATAGAAAGAAAACTAGCTGGTGTTAGGAAGAAAGACAAGGAAACAGTGGTAGAAAAATACGGGAAATGGGTAGGAGTTGAGGAAGTGCTTTTTTCCTACTCTAGTAATGAAGCTTTGGAGCCTATTGGTAAATTTTCTGTCCTTCAGATTAAGATTATGTTGTACAACAGCTTTATCTATTGTTGCTTTCTTCTACTAATTAATGCTTAGAGTGACTGGTTTTATGTGATTTTTTTCTATTTCCATTGAAGTTTGGAGGTATCTTTTCCTTTTTCTTCTCTTTGGTATGTTTCCTGTAGCTTAAGAATGCTCAATGAGGCACTGAGCAGCTGGCAATGTCACATTTTCTGTATATCAAATCAGTTCTGTTCCAAAGTACTTCTGACCATGTTGGAACCCTCTTAGCCCACTGTAGAGGTTTGATTGAGGTCCCATGAAATGTGCCAGGTCTAAAACTATGCTATGAATGATTTGCTTAGCATTTAATTAAGCAGTTAATGTTGGGATTTAGCTTGCTAAATCATCTGACTATGGGAAATTGTAAAGACGTGAACAAAATCACTTCAATTTGGTTCTTCAGTTAAAAAGAAATTGCTGACCTCTGCTGTGTGAGAGAAAATTGAGATTTATAAACTTATAATACAAATACTTCATTTAATCAATGAAGTATGAAACATGAATGTATTTATGCCACAAATACCTGGAACTTAAAGGCAAACCATGTAATTATGTTTTATAGTTGCTGTGGGCAATGGAGGTGTGCTTCTAGATCCCTCAAAGCAGTGTGGAGCAGAAATCCCCAAGCTGATATCTATGTTTAAAAAAAAAAACAGTCAGACAAAAAAGCTAACCTCAGTCCTGAAGAAATCATCAGGCTAATCCTACTAATAGCTGAGGTAGTGTGCTAGTTTTTCTTCATGGGTGCAGATACAACTGTACTCTTCACAATCCTGGAGCCATTTTGGGTGCAGGTGGTTCAAGTAGTTCTGTTCTGGGCTGTTAGACATGCAGCAGTGAACCAGCCCAGCTCTGTCTGGCTCCAGAGCGTGCAGAGCTGATGGTTGCTCAGGCTTAAATGCTGCCACTTCAGACTGGGCGTGTAAGAATCAGCTTTTTAAATCTTTAATCCTCTTAGCAACATGGCACAATGCTTTGTGCTTATGTGCACACTCAAAATGAATGTTATGAGCAGGTTCAAAGATTACTTAAACTTTCCTAAGTTTGGGGAAGAGGTTAAGGCGCTTTTTAAGTTACAGTCAGTTGTTTCTCATTTAAAAGATGTTTTCAAAAGTTCGTATGCCTATGAATGCATGACTGATTTTTCTTCTTGTTTAATTCATATCATTTTAATTTTTTTTTCAAGTAGCAGAACTAATTAAGCCTTCTTTCTTGCAAAGTTATGCTTCACTAATTTCCTGCTTTACTAACAATTTATAACCCCCTAATCTTTAATTCCCTTGCCTTCTGTGTTTGTCCTTTCATTTCCTTTCTTCCCCAGATGCTTGCAAGTACTGTGCTCTTCTTTCTGGAGAATAGTGATTGGAGTTGAGGAATTTCTTTTTGAAAGAGCTCCTAGTACTTGAAATACCAGATTTGCTTGACTTTCTGTAGTATGATGTGGAGGAGAGGATGAGAAGATGAAAAACTGAAGAGTTAAATGGAAAAAAATAATAATATAAATAAAAAACAGGAAAAGAACCCAAAACATCAAGACTGAAGACTCTTATGTTACTCCTGCAGATATTGATATGCGTGGCTTTGTGTGGTTTTGGGTTTTTATTGCAGGAAGATATGTAAATGGAGGTGAGCAACCAAAGCATTTAACCAGGATGCTGGATGGATGAGTATCTAAGAAGGTCTGAGCTGCTGCCACAGTGGTTAGTTTTTGCAAGTGATGGTGACAGGAATGGATCAGGGGAGAATGGAAGGCTCAACTACCGAGTTGTGTGGTCTTGGTCTCCTCCGTATTGGAAATCAAACCCTTGATGTGTGAGCATGGGATGAGAGGCTGGGAGGTCATTTTCTCAAATCTACATGAGCACTGTCTTTCCTATTCCAGCAACTGCTGCTGCTAGGTTCTCTGCAGCCTCTTGTCTGTTCATAGGATCTCTCAAGTTACGACCATTTAAGAAATATAAAGAAGTGACTTTCTTAACAAATTGTGATCACAGTTCTCAGTCTGTTCATCCTGGTTGCTTTTCAGCTGAGCTGGCACAACGAGCAGCGCAAACTCCTGTGAAGTTGAGGGGTTGCTGGTGGGAGGTTTTGGTGAGAGAAGGGAACACCAGGCGCAGACCTGCAAGCAAAAGAAAGGATTGTGTGTATATGGTTCCTCCAAATACTCAAGTGTTGTCTTCTCTTTTCACAGCTGTTATTTAATGAAGTCCAAGTAGGCTAATGCTTTTAAAAATCAGTGAGCCAAATGTGATCAGAAAACTTCAGGCTAAAAAGTCATTGTTAATAAGTTCTACATTGCATTGTTTTGAAATCTTACAGGCAATATACTTCTACTTTCACAGGTTAAACTGCCACCAATGATGGAAATCATAACGGCTGAACAGCTGATGGAATATTTAGGTTAGTGACCAGTTTTCACAATAGCTTTCTGTTGCATATTATGCTTATTAGTGAGTATTAGGACTCTTACTTTTTTACTGACGTACTTTACTCAGCTTTACTTGAATGTATATTTCAAGAAAACTACTCCTGGTGTTCAGTTATTCATGTTTTTCTTCACAGGCTTTAAAAAGTCTTATGTACTGTTTTCCAAAGTTATTAGAGTACAGTTGATGCAGCTTAGTATGCCAACATGCTGGTAAATCTAAACTTAACTGTGGAGTAGAGTGAGGGAGGAAGTTGTGCCTTTAATTGTCAGCAGTAACATTAATCCTTGGTAGTATGACCCAATTAAAATAACATGAAAAATGAATTTAGTTGTCATGGTGACTGGGTCTCTCCTTTGTGGGAGTAATTCCATTACCAGATTCAGTATGCAGCAAAGCTGCAACTGTTTTCATCTGACAAGTCTGTAACTTCAACTGTCCACAGTGATCCAGGTGTTAAAAGTATATTTGCCTTAGTTCTTAAGCTATATGCACCACAGCATTTTGTAGCCTGACAAATGTAAAATGTTTGAGCTTAACATAATAACTAGATTTGATTTTTTTTTAAGCAGGAGAAAAGGAAAATATAGCAAGTTTTTTGTTTGTGAAGAAAGTAGCTTGTTCTTTTCAAAAATATATCACTGAATCTTTCAATGGCAGAAAAAAAAGTATGTTTTGTTTTAAATAAGGACTGTCATTGCCTATATCTAAACACTTTAGTTATATTGATGGAATAATGCTGTCTGAACTTGCATGTTTAGACAACCATGATTACGCAGTATCTGGAAGTGTCTTGTTTTGAAGTCGTGTATTACTTTCTGGAATTATCTTACTTGAATTTCAAAATCACTGCCTCAAATTCTTGAGGTTTCTTTTCAGTCAACATGTTTGGCTGTTGCCTGATAGTTCTTCCATAGCTGATTAATAACCTTCATGTTGTAGGCACAGGTGGAATGCAAGCCTTTCAGAGTTACTAGTGTATGGAAACATGCCAAAATGTTTGTTGTGTCAGTCAGGATGAGTGCTTGTGTTTGTTAAATTTTATTATGCAATTCTGTATCTTTTTTGAATGGTTTGAATTTATATTTTTAACTTGAGGTGCAGAGGGAAAGTAAATTTCTGAATAGTTAGGACACTGGAATGCTAGTCAAAGTCATTATGGAATGATGTTTTAGTAATTACACTTGTCATTTGAATTGTAATTGTCAGTATATAACCTTACTACTATTTTATATTTTTATATTTCACTCTATACTTATAATTCAGGCCATAAAAAAGTGGCATCTCATTCCATGAAAAAAAAATACTTATGATCAGTTAGCTTCAGTCATAAGTATTCGTAGAAATCTTGAATAAGCTTGATTTTATTTTTCCTTTCTTAGGAGATTATATTCTTGATGCAAAACCCAAAGAGATATCTGAAATTCAGCGTCTAAATTATGAGCAGGTAAGAAGCAACTCCTAAAATACAACCGCTTAAGTCTGCTCCTTTTTTCCTCGCCTAAAGTTTATCAATTTGTTACAAACCATTGTTAGTACTTTTCCTATTCTATAGGCTTTTACCGGTGTAGAGTATTAGTTATAAGTATTTCCTATTAGTGAAGAAAAATGTGCAATCTTAACACACAAATTGTTAGGTTTTTTTTCTTGCAATGAGTGTAATATAAGAATCTTGTTCCTGTTGATGAAGAATAACATGGAAATATGCATGAAAGTGTGTAACAGAGTTGCTGGTCTTTGAAAGTCTTCTGTTTTGCATTCTTCAGCACGCTGCTGCATTGTGTGATCTCTGCTAGACTGTAACTGAGGGTATAGACAAAACAAGAGACCTATTTTTAAGTGGTGATGGAGAAACGTGAGGTTGATTCAATTAATAAACAGCGATGTTCTTCTCACTGGTGCAGATTTCTTTGAGTGCAGTATGCAGGCTCTCGTTCATTGCTGGTGAAAATGCATAGCTAACGGTGCTGACTGTTGGAAAAAGAGTTTTGTAGCTGAGAGTTTGCTTTGTCAAGCAGTGTCTCTGCGCTCTACGTATTGGTTATAGTTTTCTTGGAAGTAAATTGGAGGCATTACTTTCGGAGCAACCTAAGTATCTTGGGATAGGTAAAATTAAAATGAAGATTAAATGTATTATTTTCGGAATCATACAATATATGCTTTGTATCAAGTGACATGAATTCTGCTTGTGATAACTGGATTAGCTATTTTTCTCTCCACAAAAGATTACATGTATTCCTGTAAAAGATTAAAGCAATAATGAACTTCCAGGAGCTGAAGAAAATTATATATTAAAGAAAAATCTTTAATAAAGTACAATATCTATGGCTTTCAGTTGCTCAAATAAGAGTTTACTAAGTAAATGTCACAAATACTTTCAGTAAATGTGCAACTGTACAATTTTTAAAAAACAACCACTGTTCTAGGAGTGTTCCCATTCATATGTACTTTCTAGTTGCACAAGTCATACTATGTAAGAGGGGAAAAAGAAACCAATTAGGCAGCAAGTCTTACAAAATTATTACATTTTACAAGCATTGGCAGTATGTCTTGGTATTAATCATAATTTTGTGCTTATCATGTCAAATAGGTAATATTCTTTACCCAAATATTGTGTTTTTTTCTTACAACTTAAAATAAATTCAAGAAATTTTTTTGGGATGCCTGGATTTGTAAGGCTAGATTTTAGGGTAATTTTAGCATAATGGTGTGATGCTTTTTTTTGTGTTGCAGCTGTGATTTGTCTTGCCAGTAACAGCATACCTGAGAGTATTAGCTAAGTATTTAAATGAAAGATGGGTTTTAGAAACAATGAAGCATCAAGTTTTAATGCTGTTCAATGCACCGGTGTTGTGTAGTTCTATCCTTAGTTATTTGCATTTATTTATTAGAAATCTGTTCCTTTGAAATGGTACTGTTCAGATTATAGTGAGAAACGTGTAGTTCTTCAGACAGCTTGATGTATTTTTGCTTTATTTATAAAGTAAACATTACAAAATAAATGCAACTAATTGCTGTGGGTGTATGATCTGATGTGTGAATGGCTGGTGCTGGTTTGCCGTAGGCTCTTGCTGTACTAAAACAATCAGAATAGTATTGTTTCTTACAAAAAGCCTCTGATAGGATTTAGCACTTGATATCTGGTCTCTACTCATTAATCATGCTTCTAAAGTAAGATGTTTTTGTCTGCAGTTATAATAATACAAGCAACAATATAAGTCTGAGCCCGATCCTGAGAATTTCTTAGGAAACTTGCTACATTCTAAATTTTGTGACATTGCAAAGTTGACAGAAGGATGCAACAGGATGTACTCAAGTAGTCTGAGCTGCTGCCTTCCTGGTAATACAAACTTCACATAACAGTGCATCAGGCAGTAGGTCTGTTTGATTCATAGAAAACTCTCCCAAATATGGATACTGTATGTTTTTTGTTTTTTGAAAACTTTAGGAATTTTCAGGAGTTGCATCTAAAATATTACTTGATAACCATCTTGTTCTACTGGAACTTTGGTTTAAAAAATAATAATAATAATAACATTAAAATTTGCATACCAGCAAGAGTAGCTTAATTCCTCCAGCTCAAGTGCTGAGGTTGGCAAGTATGGGATTTCTGCTTTGTGCTGTAATGAAACCATGCTGCTGTGTGTGCAAAGTGATGTGCAGGGATTTGTAGACAGAGGTGTTCTACGTGTGTGTCTGCTTACAGTTTTCATACACGTTTTTGTTTTAGCATTCTGTCATCTGAGGAGGAAAGGCTAAAACTTTTTCAAGAATTAACTTTTATCTTTCTGATAAATGCAGATCTGTTAAAAATGGATTACTTAGAGCTGCTAATGACATTTAATCTATCAGTATTGTATGCTTTAATTGGTATGTTCGTTAGAACACCAAGTTAGGAGATGCACAGGCAGACTTCTTAGATTTTGGACAAATAGTGGGGTCTGCCATACATTGCCAATTACAGCCTGTATATTACATTCTCCTCAATTAATTTGTCCATTAGCATGCTGCAGGAAGGAGCGTTCAAATTAACATATTGGTTATGTTATTGCATAATAGACTCTTTTTTTTTTTTTGAAGTCAGCAAGTAGTTTCTAAGTGATAAAATGTCATCTCTCCATACCCTGATTACATCTTGTTAGCCTAATAAGCTCTTTAATACTTCTTTCATAGCGTGTTCTATGTACTCAGTTATTTACATAGTTTTTTCTTCCCTTCATGACTACATTAATTGTGCTTCTTTCTGTTAACTGTCTTATAAAGGAATACAGCACAAAGGAAACTTCCAATAATCATTGAGTTGACTCTGTGAATCTTTAGTCTTCATTTCCCTTTTGCGTCTGTGCTTCTGTAATTTGTTGTGCTTTTTTTTTTTTAAACCATTGTTGCAATTCTGAATTCCTCTTAAGCAACAAAATGTTACAAAACCAAGCAAACAAAAATCCCTCTGTTCCCCTGAATCTTCTGCAAACACCTCGTGTACTTTCTGATATTACTTTCAGTGGCACAAGTAATACAAACATGCATTGAAGTGATTCTCTAGCAAATTTCCCCTTTTCTAATTTTTTTTAGCAATATTGACTTGATGCATAATCACCAAGTGTACAAAGCTCTATTTGGTGTTTTTCTTTCTTTCTGCTGTCAGAATATGAGTGATGCAATGGCGATTCTGCATAAGTTACAGACAGGTCTGGATGTCAATGTGAAGTTTACAGGTGTACGAGTGTTTGAATACACACCGGAATGCATAGTGTTTGACCTTCTTGACATCCCTTTGTACCACGGATGGTTGGTGGATCCCCAGGTAACTTCTTGTTTTCTCCTCCCATAATCAAACTGAAAATAAGTTATTTGAATTGTATTTGGGGGAGGGGAAGATGTTTCAGGATTTTCACTGGAGTCTATAATAATGAATATGGTAATTGATGTTTTAAAATCTGTTCAGAAAAAAAAATGACTTCTAGGAGTGAATGTAGATGGTGTTTTCTTTTTTTTTAGTACAATAACTTTGTATAGGTTCAAAATGTGCTACATTGAAATACATTGAACTCATTGGATTGTTCTGAAGGAGGAAGGGAGTTGCCCTAGGGTGTGCCACTCAAATGCTTTTGGAAGCACATGAGAGAACACCTGAAAGGAAAGCAGGGTTTCTTCCCTCTTTTCTTTTCTTGATTTACATCTACTGGTAACGCAGTTTTTGAGAACTGAAGTCATTAAAACCAGTTAGGGGGAGCTACATCTTAATGACTTATTTTTCATGATATTGAGATGTTGTTTAAATAAGCAGTGAAGTGATACTATTTGCATGAGGTGAAAGATAAAGCTGAGGGGTTTGGCCAGGTGCCTCAGTTTTCTTTTCCTGTTTGTTTGGGTTTTTTTCCCCTTCGTGCCTTGTTCTTGAAAGCTGCTATTCTCTGATCTGTCCTGATCCTTCTTTGCTGAAAAGTAACTTTCTCTTTATTTAGAGTAATAGTGCGAATAAAGAAGAGAGAACTGTAGGCAAATGGACTGTGTCCAAAGCTGCATGATACTGATGTATTCTGCATGACTTACACCTTAGTGGATCCTATATCATAGCTGTAGTCCTAAAACATAGATTAGTTTTGGAATTTCTTTAAATTGTGGATTAAGAACTTTAATGATGCTTTATGTTAAGATCCATTGGGATGCTTAAAAGATGGCTGCTTTTTAAGAAAATCTTACATATTCATTTTGTTTGCTCTTGTGCGGCTTCTTGTACCCATTGTTTGTGATGAAGTATGATGCTTGCAAAGAGGACAACACTGATGTGTATCAAGTATATTCAGTGATATTTGTCTTAGTCTCTGGGGATTCTGTAATTTGAGCACTAAACAGAAAGAAGTAACAGAGAGAATGTTCCTATTACAAATTGCATCCCATACTGTTCTCTTTCCTGCTTACCAAAGCTTTTGATGCTGGGCTTTATTTTCTGGATTCTAAATGGTATCTGAGGTTGGAAAATATTTAACAGCCTTGGCTAAAGCTTTTTGATCTAGTGTTGTTAAGTGGTTAACATCCTCTGTTTGTTGAGACCATTTCTTACAAGTGATTACTCTCAGCTTGCAGTTTTGTTCTTTACGAGGATAAGTTCTCTTATAAGTTTTGTATGCTGTTTCCTCCTGTTCCAGGTTGCTGACATAGTAAAAGCAGTTGGTAACTGCAGTTACAATCAGCTCGTGGAGAAGATAATTTCTTGTAAGCAGTCTGACAACAGTGAACTGGTTAGTGAAGGTAGGTAACTTTTTTCTATTATCTAACTATCTACTATATCAAACCTTTATTTCATATTTTGTGTGTGGCTCCTGGTATGCTGTGATACAGGCGTGGTGAGCTGCTTGGTGTCTGCTGGGTAGGCAGACAGCACAGTGCTTGTCTCAACTTCTCTGATGCAATTTCTGAAACAAGAGTCAACCTCATTCTCTCGAGCTGTGAATTATACCTTTTAAAAATAGAGATAGCTTCCTTTTATGAAAAGGTGTTATGGATAGCATCAGATTTTGCCTTGGCTATGTATTATCTCCTACATGATAAAAAAAAAAATTTCAGTGATACATTACATGGATATAGCATTTCTAAGCTGTACTGGTACTTTACAGTGCTAAGGCTTTGGAACTTTCAAATCATTTTCTCCTTTCTGAATGTGTTTTGTTATTTTGTGGTAATAAGGCTCAGTAGGGAGGAGAACGGGGAAGGTAGTATTATTGTTCAGATTAATGTGTATGCAAGGTGATTGGAGATATTTACAAATCAAAGAGGAAGTTTCCTTCTGTTTTGTTACTTTATAGTTAAAGGATGCAGGACATGATTTTTTTTGAGGAATTCTCTGCTTGTTTGGCATGTGATCCATATGATAGCTCTTGGAGTATTTTCTTTTGGCCATTTTTACAGCTGTTTGTTGCAGAGCAGTGACTGCAGTCTCAGCATTCAGAGCGCCCACTTGTTTATCTAGTGCAGAGAGTTAGCAGTCCTACAGTGCTGTACACCTGCACAAAAAGCAACCCTTTCAACCTCTCATCTATGGTCTTGTTTTTGTTTAGTTTTCATATTTCTTGGCAGCAGACCAATATATATATTATATATATATATATGTTTTTATATATTGTACAGTGCCCACGTTTCACTACCAGCAGTTATAATGCTGGGTCTCTAGGCTAAGCCACAGCTGAAGCCAAAGGCTAGTATGTGGTATTGTTGAGCCATGTAACATTATGTGTTTGGCTGCTGTTCTGTGGAGAAAGTAACCAAGGTGTAAGAGTTTTTACCTTGCAGAGTTTCATGTTTACTGTAATTTATTGAGAAGTGTGTTGAGCACATTGTCATATATCACATAAATACTGTGGTGGTGTTTTCTGAACTAATTCATTTATAAAATAAATTTCAAACAAGTCTCTGCTAGTCTGACTGGTTTATAGTTAAGGAGGCATTTTGGCAGATGTTAGCAACTGATGAATCTTAAATATGGTGAACGAGATCTGAATTGGTGCCTTGGTCTGAAGCTCTTAAAAATCTTTACATGGCTTAGAAGAACATGAGGGCTTGGTAGTTGAGTATGTATAGGTGAGCATAAAAAGAGTTTGATATTTTGACATTCTATGTCTGGTCTCTTTCAATAACAGTTTTCATTAAGAATTTTGATACAACCTAGAATGCATTGTCCTACCTTCGAGAAATTTGGTACTAAATGGTTTCCTTCCATGTTTCCATTCCACAGCTGTTTCTCTGATTTCTCATGTTTGGTTCTTTCTCTGTTGCTATGTAATTTCTGCCTGTACTTGAGAAGAAAGGGATGTGGATTACTGAAACTTGCTAGGGTAAATGTATTGGCACGTGGTATTTCTGTTTTACTTTTTAAGCCATTGTTTTCAGTCAACCTGTTACATCAACCTCCCATCTTTATTTTGTAATCACATTTAACAATCACTTGTGAGGAATAAATTAGATGATATTTTGCATGTTAACAGCATGGTGTTGTGATGAACATCTCCTTAAATCCTGTTTTAATGAAGAGTAATAAGTAAAATACTTTAGCAAGTGAGCTTTAAAAGTGGAATTTGTTTTTAACTCAGTTTTAGTTAGACAATACAATGAGAAACAAATTTGTAAGGCTTTCTCTTTCTTTGCTGTGATGACACATGAAAAGTATTTCTCTTGCTTGGCATAAACTGGGGTAAGAGGACTGCCAGGTTTCTATATTTTTAGGCATATGTAATAGGCGCACAAAAGTATGTATTGCTTTTATAGGATTTGTAGCTGAGCAATTCCTAAATAATACGGCTACACAGTTGACGTACCATGGGCTGTGCGAGTTGACTTCAGCTGTCCAGGAGGGAGAGCTCTGCGTGTTCTTCAGGAACAACCATTTTAGCACCATGACCAAATATAAGGTATATTCCACGTTCTTACTGGCTTTTGTATTTTGTGGGTTTTGTTCACATTTAAAAGCGAAGCTTGTTTTTTCATTGTTGTGAAATACAAATAAATTCCAATTTGTTATTATTGTAAGTATGGGCTGTGGTGAACACAAGATCTGTAGCAGATATCACTTATGTTTTATTGGTTAGCATGTCAGAGTCTACAATCATTTTAAACCTTACTGTAGGTCTCCCTTAATATTCAGCCTCTTCCCTGTCTTAACTCCCTTTGTGATTGTGTGGAATGATGTGAATTTCTTATATGGCTTAGATTTATTTGCATTATGTAATTGGCAAGGATAAAGTTAATGGATTTATTTAATTTCTTGTTTCTGAAGACTTAGTTTTGTTTCCTGTTCGGACCAGAAGGTGGGTAGCTCTATAGATGTATTCTGGTGTTCAAAATACCAAATATCTGGAGAAGTTCAGATGAACTGTAGTATTGGTTCCCTTTGTTAGGAATGCGATTAAATCTGAAACTAGGTTGGCAAAATGGTGTGAATTGTGAAAGGAGTATTGCAGAGTGCTGAAAGCAGGTGGCTGCATGAGTTGTGTTTCTCACACTCCTTGCATGGACCAGAAAATCTACCTTGGGCATGTTCTTAATGGCTTTGTTCTGACAGAACTTTGTTGTAAAGTGGTAGTTTATTTCTCTGTATCTGAGTGCTGGGCAGAAATTGCCTCAGTCAAATTGCATCCTAAGGTTTAATAAATCTCTTTTCACTGAAGAACGTAAATATTCTGAGGTAGAATTTGTTAGGTTTACAGTATCAAATAACATGTGTAGTTGGGCACTTCTCTCAAATGTAAATATAATTAGTTCTTACCTTTATTATAGAACTGTTGAAATTATTTAGTAACAGTTAATTGAAATATAGAATTAATTCCATAATGTTTGCACTTGTATGTAATGCTAACAACTGGAGAGAAAAAATGTTTTAGAGACCACTTTTTTAAACCACCCATTATTTTGTAACATCACATACTCATATGTGAAGTTTACTTTTCCATTTGTCAGTACTGGTCCTTTTTTTTTCTCCCCCGCCTGTTAACCTTGACTGTCATATTCTTATCCTTAGCATTTTGAATAATGATTTTATTCAGAGCTTTAGCTCGATTTATGTCTGGTGAAGAATGGATTAACTCCACAAGGAGGTAACGTAGTTGGTTTGCTAATAACTGCTTAGAGTGTGCCTGTGGTTTGAGTCAGTTATATTTTTAAAGCAATAAGACTGGGAAAATTCTCTCTTTCTTCTCTTCCTTCCCCCCACCCCCTTTGAAGAATGTTTGAGGTATTGTTGTATCGCTTCTCTTTATTTTTCTAAATCTATTTTTTGGAATAGTTGCTAGTAGTTTATTATGTGAGGCCATATATTATTTCTGTATTTGCTTTCATGATGAAAAAATTACAGTTTTTTTTTTTTTTTTCAGAAGAAGAAAAGACTAAATAGAAGTAGAAAAGTAAATAGAAGTACAAGTGTACTTTATGGCTCTAGATAGGACCTAGAAGTACAGGAAGCTTTTTTGTAATTTGGAGAATGTTCCAGGTAAAATATTTTAATCTTGGAAATTGTACTTATAAACACTCCACTTTTGTGCTGTAATTGCAAATTTAAAATATTAAAGTATTGTTTGTATTAACTCAGATCAGTGGATCACTTCAATCTTGTGAATTATGAGTACAGAATTTTCTGTAGAGGATGGACTGCTTGTCTTCTGCTGCAGCCCGGAATGTAGACAAAGGCCAAAATTTGGGTGTTGTTAGTACTTCATCTTCATACCTGTAACTGTGTGCTTCTGGTGAGATATTTTTACTTAAAGAAGGAAAATACAACAGTTCATGCACTCTATCCTTAAGTAATATTCTTAATACAGAACAGCTGAAGGCAAGGAGCAGAAGTTTGTCTGAATTTTAACTGTGAAAACTAAACTCAAGTCCTACAAAGTACAGTTGTTTGAAGACGAGTATTTTTTACTGCTTCTAAGACGCTAAATTGTAGAACTAAAGTTATTGGTTTAGTCTTGTCCTTTCTGAGCACTTTTAGACCTCTGAAATAAGAAATTTTGTAATATGGCTCAGTGTTTCATAATCGTTATTATGACCTCACTTGTAGTTAGTGTTCAATTTTCCTTCTATATCTGTTGCATTGCATGTTACTGCATATCAGATAACAGGAAACTGTATTAAGAAAGAAAAATGCTTAATTAATCTATTTTTAAAAATTAGCAGTATCCTTTCCTTTGTTTTGTAGCTATTTGCAGTGGCTATATTGAGTACGTGTTCTTGATTAACTAGGAAGTCAGAAACAGACTTGACTTGGGCTTTTAGCCAAGATTAGCTGTCTGAAGCCTTTGCACTGTAGGTTGTTCATGAGTGCTAGGTGCAGTGTTCTCTGAGCTGAGATTTATCAGCTTCTTTACACTTTGCTTTTAGAAGATTGATAGCTCTGCAGGTTTTAATGGGGTTTCTTTTGTTTCAGAGTTAATGGCAGTTTGAGCACTAGCTGGGTAAATGTGAGGAGTCCATTACTTAGGAAAACAGAAGATGCAACATATGCCAGAAAAGACAAAGGAGTAAAACTTCTGAGAACAAAACAGTTTAATTCTGATTTGTGTTGTTACCACATAGATGACAATGATAGCGATTGAGAAATTTGTAGTATTTCTGGGGCTGGGTTCAGTAGATTTTTTTTTTTTCAGTTGCATTAGTGTTCTCCATGTCTGATCTAGTGAACTTGCTTTAGAGGTAATTGATGTTTTCTGTCTTAAATTTATTATCACTAAATGCATATTGTAAGACAATTCCCTAATAAGGAATTATTTTGTGGATGTTTTAATGTAGAAATGGGAGAGTTGTAAGCTCTGCTAACATCCTTAGTTCATATAATCTGAACATCCTGGTTTTTACATGTTCAGTACAAAGAGTTTATGGTATTTATTATTCTGTGATGCGTTGTCAATTTAAGAACAGATTTGCTAATGCTGGCAATACTTTACCCAGTAATTCTGAGTTTAGAGTGGCATTGCGGTGTCGGATCAAAGATCTTCATCTTATTGTTGGATTACTTATTTTGGAGAGCTGTGTTACTGAAATGACTTATGGGAGTATGAAGAAACATCCCAGCGCTCTCAGTTCCTGCCTTTATTGTTATTATATATATTCTATGTTACAAGATACTAGATATTGGCAAGAATTCCTTGGAAATACTGGACATACCAGTGCCCAACTAGTATGGTTATTAGGCCAGCTAGTATACATTATTTTATAATCTGCTTATTTTTTATCTAGTGCTCCTATCAGCAGCAAAATTTTTTGCATGTATAGTGAAGGAATTCATTGCATGTAAGGGAGGGAAAGGGAGTGACTCCTTGCTGCCTGGCTTTCCTTTTAATGTGTTTTTTTTTGTTTGTTTGTTTGTTTTGTTTTTTTTTAACTACTAAGCTAACTAGCAACATAGTATAAAACAAAAAAAGGATTTGGAACCTATCGAGTGCTTCTTGCAACATCAGACAAAGTTGCTGTTACTAACACATGGCAACATTCTGAATGCCTGGTGGAGATGAGTGTAGTATCAGTGCTGTTACGTACTGTAGGCAAAAGCTAATTGATGCTCTGCTTGTCAGTGTGTACAGTGTGATTCTCTGCTGGTTATAGGGATAAAGGCAGTAATTTGGGCTCTCAGGTAGGCAACTGGAGGTGTCCTGTTGTATTAGAATGCTTTTTAAAAGATCTGTTATTTTAAGAAGAATACTTGACTTGTAGACGAGAAGCAAAACAGAATGGTTGTCCAGTTTGGTCTGTTGCTGAATTCAAAAATATTTGTTAGTGTTTTGAAATATTCCTGTTCAGTGCAATATGTATAGACAACTCTAAAATGTTCATCTGCAGGCAGATACATACTGAGTGATTTTTACTTACTTTTCTTTTCATTCCTTACTCAGGGAGTAAGTGCTAAATGGAAAGGGCTCATTCAATAATATATATATTTATATATTTTAAACTTTTAGCTTCAGTATTCATGTAAGTGGGAAGTTAAGGAAAAAATAATAGTAGAATAATGGCAGTGAATTATTTTGGAAGTTAATGTGAATAATTTTGAAGAAATAATCTTCCTCTCAAGGCTTCAGTTCTCTTATAAAGCTGCTGAGGTGATATTACAGTGTAACTGAAGATTCACTGACCGCTTTTTAGAACACAGGATCAGTCCATTCCTTCAGTTTTAGTTTGTTTAATATAGTGTTGGATAATTATAATTTTACTTTTCCAAAAAGTGAATAAAAATTGCATAATGCAATGTGAAGTTGTCATCTTTAATTTGGAAAAGTTTTGGTATTGAGATGATGTCAATAGGAAGTTTTGGCATATTTTTAAAAGTTTGTTTCATATAGAATGAAAGCAAATGTGACAGTTCTAATATGTTTGCTGTCAAAGTATGGTGGACGTTTGTTAATGGTAATTCAGTTATCACATACTTAATCCCTTTTGCTGTTTGTCCATTTGCCCAAGTAATCACTTATTCTACTTCCTATCAATTTAATTGCATATTAATAGTCTTAGCTCTTGTGATTATACAGTAATCACTTTCAACAATTAAAGATGTGATTTTTTTTTTGCCTTTGCTTTTCATTGCACAGATAATAAATACATCAAATGGTAATTCCCTAGATCAAGAAAAAACAGGACTGTAAAGAGGGAATCAGTTTGGTAAGAATCTTAGTTCAGTTGGAACTCTTCTCCCACTGATGTGACTATTATACAATCTGTCTATTTCCTTTACTGAAAAGTAAGAAGAAGTTTGCCTGTTTGGATTGTCAAATATGTATGTTGCAGTAATGCTCTCTAGGTTTATAAATGTTGGATTTCTGTTTCCGAACTCAAGGTGGGCTTTTGTTCAAGTACTAGATACATTTCATACCAATAACTTCTCTTTTTCCCTATGAAAAAGGCATGAGTTTGGCATACTAGGGGCAATATAGCTTTTTCAAAACAGGTTTAAACATTCTGTCCCTTTCATGGTAAGTGTTCGGTTTTCATTCTGAGTAAACATTCTTTTTTACGCAGTTTGAATCAATTGATGTTTATTACAAAAAAAAAAAGAGAGAGAGAAAGTAACAGTTACAATTCAGATTAGATTATTCTCAAAAACAAACAAACAAACCAAAACCATGCATTCACATAAACATACAACATCTTCATAAAAATCAAAGGGTCTGATCCAGAAGTCCAAGAGAACATTTACATAGCCCTTAAAGGATAACGCCCAAAATGTTTGTCTTGCCTGTATGAAGCTAATGGACTTTGGCTTTCGTTTTCAGTTTTCTAAACCACTGAAAACGTGGTAATTAGCCTCAGAGGTAGTTTAAAAGTATTCATTTCAATCGCTTTTTCAGATCATGAAATTAGCCTAGGAAATGATGTATCACAACAACCAGCGACACCTGCAGCCTACATCTGTAAGCCTTTGAAATACTTTCTTTTTTTTTTGTGCACACCAGAAGATTGATAGAGACATACAGGAGAGCAATCTTTGTATCCTTCACTTTATTTAAGCCTTCTACATTTGAAACTATAAAATCTGGGCATTGGTCTACAATACATGGGTCTTGATTCTTAGGTTAGATAGTTTAATTGTCCATAGCGTAGGCAAAGTTTACCTGAACAGTTATGCATTTGAGACTTTCTTTTGTTTTATTTCTTCTTGACAGTGGTTGTTAATATGGACTAACCTCCTTGGGGACAATTAGTCCATAAGACTGTTTATAAACATTTGAAAAAACACCTTAAATTAATAAGTAGTACTTTAGAGGTAAGCAGTTAAATACATTTCTACCTTCATAAAAATCTTATTTCATAAACCATATTGTTCTTGGCATGTTGTACTTGACAAGCATACTTGAGTATGTTCACGAGCTGAATTGAATGACCTCAGAGTGCAGATCATTCTGTGTTGACTTTAACAGACTAGAAAACAAATGCATAATGAGGACCATGATCTATTAGGTAGGAAACATTGTTTTTTACTTCTTTTTGTTTGTTTGAGCCTCTTTCCTAACTCTTAAGTTCATTGTAAATGTTTGTTTCTAGCTAACGATTCTTATTGATCTTCTGCCTGTGCTCCCTTTTTCTCTTTTCCACCCTATATTTATATTGAATAGAGCTCAGAAAAACACAAATCTTGTTCAGAAAACCTTCTGAACAAGAACAAGTGTAGTGTAAAACAACTGGATACAGAAACTGGTGTTACATTAGTTGCATGTCCCTGTCTTGTAGCCATTTTATTCTCTATGCACTTCACAAGGCTGAGGAAGAGCTATGCAGTCAGACTGATCTCATCCATCATCTAGTAAGTGCTGGAAAATGGTGACTGGTTCCTGACACTGTGCACGTCTGTACGTAGCACAGCTGAAATGTACAGGCAGTATAATAGTTCTATGACTTAAACATATTTTCCTGCATCACAGATGCCCTCAGAGGGCTTGCTGATGAAGCATTTAGGATTGGGAAGGAAACACACATGGCATTAAAACAGCGCCTGTAGCAAGTCTGTAGATATGCTTATTATGAATAGAAGGAGCACAAAAATCAAGTTCTGGAAGACTGATTTTCTTTAGAAACGAGTAGCTATATTACAGCTAGTGCACAAAGAACTGACTGACTTCCTGTATAAAACTGGAAGTTCTCCAGTTGTCATCAGAAGTGACATGAACGTTAGCAGTAACAGGACTGACCTTGGGAAGCTGGATTTTTTTTTTTAGAAATTTCATTAAAAATGATCCTAATATGAAGTACAGATCAAAAATGGGGAAGGAGTTCATCTCTGGTCTGTGCTTTCCATTGCTTTCATTCAGATAACGGGATGAGGTATCTGGTCTCCTCACAAGAATGAGGGAGTCAGTGTGTTGCTGGGCATCCTTTTGGTAGTGTAAAGCAGCATGTTTTTGAATAATGCGATTGGTATTGGAATTATAATGGTTTTGTTCTTAGGTAACATGGTGATATGTAATAAGCTTATTGTCTTTCATCGAAGAGCTATAAGAAATCTATCTTTTTTTTAACTTTATACCTAAGATACAATAGTTTTTAAATCAGTGTTCAGTTTGAGTTGTTCAGCTGAAGAAGACTTAGAAAATAAGGCTATTAAAATCTGGTTCAGATTGTTGAGATTGTTTCTATTCAGAGCTTCAAGGTATTTTTAAATAATGTAGTAGATTTTAATTCCATGAAGGCAACAATACATTTTAATATTAGTTTGTGAAAAATTCAGCTTTCATGATCTCCCAACTCCTTATTGTAAGTCTTACCGTTTTCCAATTTCAGTGTGATTAAAAAACAGTTTATGAACTGTTTAAAAATTCATTCAAAAGTATATGGTGTTTTAAAGGAAAAGTTTATCTATTTTTTTCTTCTGCTTTTGTTTGAATCAGTGTACTGATAAAAAATAAAACATTAAATTAGACTCAAATACACTTACCTTAGATTCTGTCATCTTTCTTACTTTTAAGCACTTCATACATTGAGTGCTGTGAAATAGGTGTTCTGTGCAAACTGGAAGTGTTATGAAATAGTTTTCTTCAGATTATTTGGATGATGTTGAACATCAGGAAGCAAATTGGTGTTAAGGTTGGCTTCCCAGGGAAAGATGATTTAATAGATCATGTTATGTGATCAGAATTGTTACTGACAGTTTTATCTGTAAGCCTACCTGTGCTTTCCAAAACTTTAGAATATCCATATATGCTCTATATATGCTGTATCATATAGCATTCCAAAACTTGAACATATCTAGTAGTACCCTTTGTATTTGTTTTTTTTAATCTGTTTTGTTGAGCCTTTTGTGTAAACATGTCTTGTGGTATTAGGTAATACTAAAACAGCTGCTGTGTGGAGTTTCAAACGATCTGTTTGTTGTGCAGTGCTCTTCAGCCACAGAAGAGATGGCTGTAAGCTTGAGGAGTCTTACTGGGACTGGAGATGTTTATCTCAGGAAAAATATTTTTTTCATGTCCTGGGAGAAATCAGTGGGATAGTTCTGTTCTTGTACAGAGGTGCTGCTCTCATTTTTCACCTTTCTTGCTTCAGTACATTTTTAACATGATGATCTTTAATCTACTCTGTATGGTGCTGTAGTACAAACAGCAAACCTTTATGTGTGTCACAGTGAAGTATTTTGTTCTTTTTTTTTTTTTTTTTTACAGCTAAAATACTGCAATTAGCTATACTTACTTGAATATTTTAGGTAATATTAATGGAAACTTTGATCTTCATGTATGCTCAGTAATAACAGTCTTGCATTGGCATGTAGCTTATGAAGCATTAGGATTAGATTCAAATCCAACTAAATTGAATTTTAACTTGTTTTTTTTTTTTCATGCTGCTTTGCTGTCCCTCAGACATTCCACAATATCTCAAAATGTACTTTTGAAATTCCTATCTGATTTCAGTCCTCTCCCATTCTTTCAACTTAAGCTTGTATTTCATCCTTCCTCTGCTTCAGATTCTGGATTTGTTAGTATTGCCTCTCACTTCCAGACCAGCCCATTTTATAATTTCAGACTTTGAAACTAATAGAGAAATTTCACTTTATGGAACTGTGAAAAGGATAAAATCCAACAAAAGCAGTTGTTGATGACAAATGATAGCAAGAATCTTTTTTTCCCCCAATTGAACTAAACCCCAGCTTCCATTTAAAAAAGCAAAACAAAAAACATACTGAGACAATCAAATTTTGAGATAAAGCCATTTTGAGCCAATGCCTCTTGGATTATTTGGAAAGATCACCTTTGTCTCCAGATCTTGCCTTTCAAATTTAACTTGATTTGTTCTGGGACAATTGACGTTGTCAATCTCAAGTCCTATTTCTCAGATGTGTTTCCAAGGAGTTGAGAAGGTTTATGTTTGTTTCTTTACGTTAATTTATACTGAATATTGAACTTCAATGTAATAGTGGAGAAAAATATAAGATACATAATACTGAAATTAAATATGTTTGCTATTTTATCAATGAATACTAGTCTCTAATCTTTTAATGTTATATATGGAGCCATTTAAATTTATATTTCATAAAAAAAAATCAAAATTAATGTTCTACTGGAATGAAACAGTTATAATTATCAAAAATTATCAGCTAATTTATCACACTGAAAAGTCATTTCTGTAGGTTTATAGGTTTTCCCATCTTTCTGCGTAGGGTCAACTTTACCTGCTGGTAACAGACCAAGGTTTTCTTACAGAAGAGAAAGTTGTCTGGGAAAGCTTGCACAATGTGGATGGTGATGGAAATTTCTGTGACTCTGAGTTCCACCTACGGCCTCCTTCAGACCCTGAAACTGTCTACAGAGGGCAGCAGGATCAAATAGATCAAGTACTGGATTTGTGCCTCTCTACTGTATTTTTGTTTTCTTCTGACTATACATAGTAAATACCATGCATTTCTAGCCATACGTGTATGAACCTATAAACTAGAAAAGAATGCCTTGTACACCTAGAATGAGGTTCTTAAAAGTGCTCCTTTGTAGTACTCTCATGACTTCAAGGGAGAGGAAGACTAGAACCAACCTTGAACAGTTTGGAAAACTTGCTTTTAATCTTTGAGAATCCCTTTCTTCAAAGAACTTTGAGTAGAAATGTCACATCTGCCTTATATATGGAAACAGGAAAAGTATTGAAACTATAAACTTCTCCCTGTCTAATCAATTCATTTTAGTACATTGTCATAATTGAACTTTGTGTCGTGATGCCTGCTTTGCTAAATGTAGGTCAGAGCTATAGCAGATTGCACATGGTGATCATTGTTTTTTGGTTTTTTTTAACAAGTAATAGTTTGTGGGAGTCCTGTCTGAGACGAGACTTATTTGTGTTAATGCGTCAATGCATAGCAAAAGCACTTGTAAATCTTACATTCTAAATAAGCAAAATGAATTCATAATCACTGTTATTTTTATCAAATACTTAAAAATATATGTGAATAAGCAATTGCTTTTGAAAAGACTCAAACACTGTACATCTTTTTGTGGAATAAACAATCTGGTAGAGATAGCAGGGCTAGTAGTATCTTGAGTAGTCAGTGCTGTCTGTCTGTTTGAACATATCAAAACTATTTTTGATTATCTTCTTCTTGGTTTAGGAACTGGTGTTTCTCATTGATTCACACTTAACACTGTTCAGTCCAGTGGGGACAGATGATCTATTGATCATAAATCACAGAGTTCTAATTTGTAATTTGCTCTTTCTATGACAGCATTCAAATCAGTACTTCTACCTAGAACTAGACTGAGCTAAACAATGTCCTTTTACTGTTGTCAAGGTAAAGGAATTTAAACCAGTTGGGTTTTGGTTTTTTTTTTTCCCCCTATGTTGAGACATGGAAACAGTGAAGGGAAAATTGTAAAGTAGCTGTATTTATTCTGCCCCTCCCNNCCCCCCCCCCCCCCCCCCCCCAACATTTCTGCAGTTCAGGTTACAAGCAAGTTCTGAAACAGAACTTCTGAGAAAGATGCATTTGTAGATGGCTAGGGTAAAGGGAATGGTACAGTATGGCTGCCCTTGTTGAAAAATTTACTTGACATGACTTGGCTCTTTTCTATGTGAAAGAACATTAATATACAGGTTTACTGTTTAGGATTATCTGATGGCTTTGTCTCTACAACAAGAGCAGCAAAATCAAGAGATTAACTGGGAACAGATACCAGAAGGAATCAGCGATCTTGAGCTAGCAAAGAAGCTCCAAGAAGAGGAAGATAGGCGAGCTTCTCAGTACTATCAGGAACAAGAACAAGCAGCTGCTCAGGTCCAGGTAAGAAAACATTATCACAGAATATGACCACTAGTTATAGTGAGTACTAACTTCATAGTTATATAGACACATCTGCATTATATATGTCTCAGATAATTAGGACTGATGCTGTTCACATTATATGCAGTATTTGTTAAGAACCCTATAGTTATCTTGTTATTTGCTGCTATAACTTAGGACCATGCACACAGATATGGCAGTTGCTGCTACTTAAATACTTCAGAGCATTTCTAACCTAAACTGAAGTTGCATTTATGCAATTTAAGTTGAAATGATGGGATGTGTTACTACTTCATGTTACAGAGATTGTATTAAAAATACACAATTTTTAAAACAGTGTTCAAGTAGAAGCTTTTCAATGATAGTCAGTTTTCTCTTCATTTTGTCTTGTGGAAGGTTGTGGCTTTACTGTTTTTAGGTATTTTAGTCTATGATACCTTCTGAATTTCTTCTGTCCTGTTCCAACATAGGAAATTAATGGTTGCTACTAGTATGCCTTCCCTAGCCTCCTTCTTCATAAGCAGCTCCATTCAGAATGCTTGGAAAATCTCATTCACGAGCGTATAAGTTGCAAGAGACAGTATTAAAGTTGTTCTGAATTCAAGATTTCTTAACTTATTGAGACTTTCTTAGCGCGCACACACACTTATATCAAAATATATGTATTAAATATTTGTAAATAGAAGCAATATGAAGGCTGAATCTTTGGATGGCCTGTGCCACTTCAGAACCCTTGATTACCACTAATTGTTAAACACAAAATGAGAATTTCTGACAGTTAAAAGATCCATTATTTCTCCTATATTGAGCTTATTGCTTAAATACCAATACTGGTATTGGTTCCTAAGATGTGAACAGGGTCCAAGGAGAGATTCACTTCTGCTGGTTGTGGAATGGCAGAAAAAAATCTCCTCAACAAGATGTAGTGGCATCATTAGCTAAATTAGATGACGTAGCAAAACTTCTGTTGTGTTTTGTTGTATATCACCCACCCACTTCTTCAGTACTTCCTAGTAATGGACTATAAAAAAAAAAAACCTCTGCATCAATACATTTAGTCATCAGTCAGCATTTTCAGTCCACAACTTCTCAAATGTAGATTATGTTCTTATAAATGAAATGGGAAAATTTTCCAGTATAGTAAATATTGAAGTGCCAGAAAATGTTTGATTCTAAATTGTATTATTGAAAGAACTGATCTGAATATGTAAGCACAATAGAAGAGACACACAGGACTTGAAATGTATTTTCAATTGATTTTGTTTTCAGAAATAAGCTTGCATGAGGGCTTTGTAGAACTCATACTGAAAGACCTTCTATCTGTGTTCTGCTGTTTGCATTTTAGTTAGATTCAAGTTCATGGAAGTTTAATACTTGAAATTGTTCAGTCTACAATTACAGCATTGTGTCGTACTCAGAATGCTGTTTGTTTTCTGTGTAGCAGGTGCAAGGTGCTCCTTCTCCAGCAAGTGGAAGACAATCTGGGAGCAATGAACGCAAACGTAAGGAGCCTCGAGAGAAAGAGAGAGAAAAAGAGAAGAATAGCTGTGTTCTCTTGTAACAGTAAATGGACGACAGCATGGAGCCAAGTGCATGTCCTCAGAAGCAAAAACAAGGAGTAAAAAGGAAGACAAACCCGTTACATGCCGCCTGTGCCTGATTACCCCACGGATTTTGTTCACGTTTCAGGAGAAGATGGGTGACTTTGTTACAATCATATAGACTTTCTTCAAAGTCATAGTGTGTGCTGCTTGAGATGGAATTCCAACTCACAGTTGGATGTGGCTGTGCTTTGAGTTAGTCATAAGAAATACTGCACCTTGTAGCTGAAAACACAAATTATGGCAAGTTTTGTGTCATAGTGACATCCATTATGTATTACATCAGTAAGCTATTTTATCTTCCACTCTAAACAAAGGAGGTAACTGGTTTTGTTTAAGACTTTTTTCTTAAAGTATGTACACTAGCACAACAGAATCTTGTGTTATTTTCATGGTATGAAACTATATCTTAGGCTGGGTATAGTCTTCATGACATAAGCGCCCAAATAACAGGTGGGTGTTGCCTCCTCAGTGTGTCCAGATATCTTTGCTTCTGGATCTAGTACGTTTGGTTTTTTGAACCCAGATTTATACTGTGTTAGTGCTGTTGTTGCATCTCTTTGCCAGCTTTCTTGCCCCAAGAATACATGACTTGATCACATAAAAAAAAAATTGTTATTAAAAAATGGGGCATTTATTAATGAGCAAGATTAATATTGTTTGTTTTTCTTGCAATTACAAACTGGGTATGACAACTCAGATGTTATCAGGGTTAAACAAGTAATTTTATAGGTCACTTCCTTTAAGTATTTTTTTTCCTTTTGTAGGTAAACTGGACCAGATAGGAACTTATTTATTGATCTCTCCATATGTTTGGTAAACAGTGAGAGGGCACTAAGGTCCATAATAATCCTTATTTTGTCTAAGAATGAAGAGTTAAAATAACTATCTATCTGCCTTTTTTTCCAGAAGTACCTTGAACTTTAACATGACATTAACACGTTCACTTGTATAGTTGAGCAAGTGTAATGTAATTAAATACATACTTTGTTTTCTAAATCATATATCCTTACAAAGCACACTTAAGAAGGGGTGAGAGAAAAGCTAGGCTAATCTCTTGAGATAGTTTGGAAAGACGGTCAGGTGTAATATTTTGTTTTAAATAGCTAATTTAGAATTTTTGGAAACCAGGTTTTTCTAATTTATGGGAACCAAACAGAGATGTTGCATCTTCTAGTATCTATAGAATACAGGAATGGGATGCTCACTGAATTTTGAGGGGACCACAACTCCTCCTCCACTTACATTAAGTCAATAACAGTTATCTTCTTGCTGAACCTTTTTGATAAAATTTGTATTTCACAATTTGTAGATACTTTTGAAAACAGCTGCTTCTCCTGGACAAGCCAATTGCTTGCATGAGTCTGGGACAGCTGAAGTAGCTGGGTGGGATATGACATCCCTGCTGTCAGGGGTTTGGATAATGTCTGAAAGAGAGAGGCTGTCTAAACACAAGTTGACAACAAAAGCTGCTTTAAAACTATTTCAAGCAGAAGTGCTGAGATGATCCTAGAATGAAAATTAGATGTGTAAAGGAAGAATGTCTTATTAAATGAAGAGCCAGTTTTTACCACTTTTTTATTCCATGTTTTTTTTCTTTTCTGTTTTTCAATTTTGTTATAATTTTTGTTTTATAAAGATGAAGTAATGAATGGTAGGTCTCTAATATGTAAAGTGTAAATGTAAAAAAAATTGTGTTCTCTGGTAAAGTCATGCCCAGGAAAGTCATTTTAACACATAATATACACAGTTTAGATATATTTCTACGTCAAAGCAAAGGTTGACCACTTCTTTTCCTTTGCAGCAGCCTAACTTATTCAAACAAACTAGTGTGATGGAGGATCACCAACATAATGACTTGTCTACATTAAGCAAATTACAAAATATTTCAGTAGTGTCAATAATGAAGACTTAAAGGCAGAATGTTGTTTAAAAACATTCTGTTACTAAGATTTTTTCCAAATTTGTGTATTTACATTTATTTATTACCCTTGAAAAATAAATATGTCAAGCTAAGTGTTTGTTATCTTATTATTTTCAGTACAGTGTTGCCACTTTAAATTCTGTAACAAATTTGATTTGAGCAGGCATTGTGGCTGTCGTAGATGCTTTTTGCCTGAAATACTTGCTTGTATTAGAATAATTCTTGTAGTATTTCTAGTTTCAGACAGATGTGCCTGAAGCCTTATGTACTGTAGTGATCACAGTGCCATTTGGTCACAATGAAAGAAAAGTTAAATGTCATCGTTCATCACAAAGTAAGTCTAGACTCCCCAGTAATTCCATGTCTTTTTCAATAAAAGAGTGAAGTTTTCAGGTTATTTGAGATGACAGGGATGCTATTCAAACAATTTTCTGTTAATATACTGTTTTCTTTACAGGACTCAAGGCTTTGGAGAAAAGCTAAAGAACTCCTGAGAATCTAGGGCATCGTTCTGCATGGGTTGAGTTTGCTAGTGGCAAAAGTTATAAGTAAGGTGAGCTTGTTAACATCCAAAACTAAGCATCTGGAAGCTTAATTAATGCCTTACTGTGACTAACTACTTCAAAAGTAACTGTCACAGTTGGTATACAAGACAATATGTGATGAATTAAAAACTGAACAGAACCTCTTTTATCTGTAGTAGTGAACTTGGAAAGCAGTATCACGAAGTAAGCAGGGAGCACCAGCAAAGATGCTGTGTACTTCTGGCACTGTTTACTTCACTTATGCTCTTTTTCAAAGCTTATGTTCTGGCAAAAAGTTATCCTTGACTTAGACTTAGACTTTAAATTTGTTATAGAATTTAGCATGTACACACTACAACTACCTACAAAATGTATATGAAAATGTCATAAAAGTAGAGTAGAGCTTGTTTTCCACTAGATAAAAGCTAGCACAGAAGAATCATAGAATTCCTTCTTGTTATGTTATAGCTGTGTAATAAAGCTCAGTACAAGTATTGAAATAAGCAAAAAGTTGAGCACTGCCATATGTTAAATGTTGTTCTAAAAGGCACTTTATAAATTCTCAAATCTACCACTTTTCTTAAGTGATATTAATATGTAATCTGAGGCCCAACAAAGCAGATCCAAATGAAGATTGTAACATAAGAGAAAATAACATTCCTGAAAATACACTTAGACACAATGCAAAAAACATGTTTTTGTAGCAAGCCATCCACTTAATACAATGAAGAATGCATTCAGATTGTCTTAACAGAGCTCTTCTTGTGCATCACAGACATGAGAATTTAAAAGCATATGCTCTTCTGTATATACTTGCATTGGATTGATAGTCAGTCTCTACACTTGATATTTCACATCACTGTCAAATATTTCTTCAAAATTATATACACAAGTTCTTGAAAAAAATTTCCAGTTATGTAATAAAAGGTAATTCAGCTTCTTGAAATTGCATCTTCTGGTGTATTCAGCAGGAAGTACCACAGTAAAACGTGAAGCTGATATCTTGTAACTGAACCCTTTTTCCCTGCTACATTAGACCTATAACCCAAAGCTAACTCATTGGCTTGAGCAATTTTTTTTTTTACTGTCAGGATGCTTACTGCAGTAGCTGAAATTTATACTGTATAAATCTTTAAATACAACGTAATGAATCAAGAACTGTATTTTATATAGAAACAGACTCTTAGAGGTTGTAGTCCTAAAGAGATGACTCAACAAATGCAGGTTAATTGATGCAGTGTCATTGTTAGAAAGCATATTGCAGAAAAGCAAAAATAACAGCCTTTAGTTTGGTTGAAGTGTAATGCTCACATTTCTCCATCTATCCTATCAGACTTTGGTAACAAGAAAAATCTGACGCTGATATGTGTTCACATAGTCCAGTGACAACAAATGTCAATGCAAGAACTTAAAATGTATGCATTTTGTTTTGTGCAGTTACTTTATTTTCTGTTAAGCATATTCAGCACTAGACTGGTTGCAGTGTTATGTTGAGGAGGAAGATCTGGTGAGGTAAATGACGCTCATCCAAATCCACCTACACAGAAATCTCTTTGATGTTAATTTTCACTGTGTTTTTATATAGCTCCATCTTGTTAACAGCTTATTTTTGTAGTTGTCCAGTAGAAGAGCAATGTATTGAAGCTCAGTTACCACTTCCTATGAAGAAGTGTGGTGGGGAAATAGAGTGGAGTGACTAGAACATAAAGATCTCTGTGTCACATCATTTTCTTGAAACTGGGAAGGGATTCATCCCTAATTTTGCTGTAGCATAATAAGTACCTGTAGTACAGCATGTACTGGCCAAATCTTCTCACTTAAGTGATGACCAGCATACTTGCTCCATGTCTGTCCCAGTACATCTCCTCTTCACTGTCATAGTGTTTCTAGGCCAAGGCTAGCTGTTCAAACAGTCTGATGACTCAAAATTTTTATTAAATGTCTGTTGTCTACTGTTGAATTTTGATTTTTGTCAGATCTGCCACTTTGAGCTCTCTCACCTGAAGAATTACCTCTGGAGAACTTGCTTTAAGTTCTTTACTGCCTTTAACATTACTGTTCTCGTTTATACGATTACTTTTGCTCTTGAAGGTTGCAATGAACAATTCATTATTTTCTGAGAAATTGAAGTATCTAGTTAGTTATCTTTAGAAGTCAAAATACCATGTGTGCTTCTACATGGCAGCAAAGAACAACTTTGAACAAAACGGTAGGCTTGGGAAATGCACAGGGGGAATGATTCAGCTGAGCAACAGTACTCAAAATTTTTTAGCTTAAATAGTATACTTAACAACAAACTATTTTGTACCAATATGAAAAGGCACTGTCAGCGCTCATGTCACTAGTTGAGTCACACATTTAAGGAAGTAGGTGCTGATGCTGTGGCTAACAGCCTTACTGAGGCCAAAAGTGAGTGAAATTTGACTCTGCTACAAACACCAAGCCAAATCGTGGTGCTGGGTGGGGGCATAAAAACTTCACAAGTTTTATATTTATTTCAATTAATTGAGAATGTCCTTTCAATTCAAGTCCTGTCCAGTTTATGAATTTCACAATATGCATCACTTAAACAAGGGAAGTGATGTACAAGTGATGTGAGACAGTGCCTTTAGCTCACACAAACTGAGATCTCCTGAGCAGAATCCAGAGAGGTAGAGATGAAGTAGCACTAACAATACTGTATTGCTACTGGAGACAGGACAATATGAGCTTCACCGTGCAATGTGTCAAATCCAAGTATCTAACTGTCCTAAGTCCATATTGCAATTCATTATTTGGACTGACTATAGCATGACTATTTCAGCCCATGCCAAAGGTGCACTTCTTTGCTGTGGAAAAAAAATACACAATTAGACGACTGCTTTCTTAATAGGCTTTCAAAAGACCTTAAACTGTTCTTTTTGGAATTTTTAGTCTTGGGAAATTAATAAAAAAAAACTTTGAGTAGGAAATGTAATGAGATTTGACACTGTTTTTTCTTTTGTAGTACAGTTATAGGGAAGATAATATTGAGGGGGGGGAAATGCAATCAAATTTAATTTTGTATGAGAATGTTGTATTTACTTATATATGTTGCAGTCACCTTTTAGAACTGATAAATTGCTTCATCAGTAACAAGCCTTTGCTCTAGAAATAAAGTTAGGAACAGATTTATTTATAAACATGTGATGCTGTTTTTTCAGCTTTAGTTTTCATTGTATGTTGCTATAGTTAACAGTTCAAAACTACCTTACAGTGACTGAATATGTTTTTGGATCCTTTCAACTTTGGGGGCAGTATTTCAATACTTCTAGCACTCCAAATTTTTTGATTGTCTCTCCAGTCCAACCTCCTACTGAAATGAATGAGGAAGAAACTGAAACATGGCATTTCAGTGTAGGCTTAAGCACACCAGTCATGCAATTCATTACAATTGGGAAATCTTGGAGTAAACAAGAGTCTACTTTTTTAAGCGCGTCTACTGTCAAATTGCCCTTTGTGTTTTTAGTATGCATATTCAGTACTCTGGCTATATCTAAGAAAAGTTCATTTTCTCCTCAGTATTTTAGTGCCAAGGCAACAACTGTTCTCTTAATTGTAGGTTGGTTTTTCATCATTATTGTTTTATTGCAGATTAACTATAGCCAAAAAGATCTGTTTTATGTTAATTACTGCTTTTGTTTATAGCTGGTTTTTGGTGGAGTCCTTTAGCTTCAAAGCAGATTTTATATGAGGTGAATAAATAAAATGTTCTGCTTTCTTTGTTTTCCTTTTTTTTTTTTTGCCAGTTACAGCTGTGGTAGGCTTTAAAATGGAGTTCTATTTACTACAGAAAAAGAATAATTACTGCTTTTGGAAATAAAATTTTTCTTTCACTTGCAAAAGTTTACTAGCTCGTTGTCTTAAAGTCTATTACAGATACAGTGAACCTGCCTGGGAATTTTTGAACTACGTATGATTCAGCAATTTGCATTTTTATCCTGACTAGTTGTAATAATTACATATTCATTTTATATGCTCTAATTACAGCAGTATGTTTGCATTTCTGGGTTTCTTACATACTTCAACTTTGCACATGTTCTTTAAAAACCTATAAAAGAATGAAATGCTAGTGAATTGTACATTCTCTACTGTTGACTCTCTTACCATGTTGTCTTGATGTACGTTTTAACCAAGTAATTCAAAGCCAGAAGTTACTTCAGAAAAGTGCTAGATTTCCTTTCTGAAATAGATCCCTGTGTTCAAGCTGCTGTGCTTGTGTAGACCTACTGCAACTGTGCAATTGCTTAGCTGTCTTAAATCAGAAGTTTAGTTGCGAGCCCAAAGCTTATTTGTAATATAAATGGTCTGGTTTAACAGGAAATATACAGAAGCTACTATAGGTTTACTAGAAAAGGGAAGTTTGAAGTTGTAAATATGTGTTTTACAAGTATGACACAACTAAATGCATTCATGCAGTATCGTTTATACCCAAGTATGTGATGGAAAACCTTTTCATTTTGATGCTACACCATTACCCAGTATTGCAATGGTATCACCTATTGCCTGTTTTGTATTTTCAAAGCCTTAATTGTTTATGTTATATTTATTTTTTAGAGACTATGATAAGGAATGGATACTTTCCTTGTAAACTGTTAATTTTGAACACTTAAATCATTTTTGGAAAAGTTTAATTCTGTACTTAATACCCTTTTTGTTTTGTACTACAAAAACAATATTGCTAAGTTACTTTTTAAAGAATGTCTCTAAAGTTTAAAATATTTACCCTGTTGAGATCTATTTTGATTAATAGCCTTCTAAAAATCATCATCTGTAAATAAATTTCATTTAGGTATTTAAACTCATTCATAGTAGTCAAGATTGGATGAAGTATTCAAATAAAAGCCACTGTGCAGAAAGGCAGACTTCAATCTACCAAAGTACTTTCAAAGTCAAAGTTTGAGGCCATTTGTTTTTAGTTAACTTTTCATTTAGTTTCAGTTAACATATCTACATATGCAGTTTTTTATAAATAAGCAAAATAACATTAAGAAACATTATGCCTGGAGAGGCTACAGTGCATATCTAGTCTTTTCTACTGTAGGCAAGATGAAGAGTAACCTCTCTAGTTTTATTTCTGTGCTGCTCACTTGGCTTTGCCTTTAACTTTCATATTTCTTATTCCATCCATCAGTGACTGCAAACTCATCCTCCAGTAGCTACATATTTTGTGTTGTCACTTCTGAAGCACGTATTACAGTCAAATTGCATAATTTTCAAATACTCTTTAGCTTAGTAACTTGTACTTATGATCTACTGGAAAAAAATCTTAAATCCAATAGTAGTAAGAACTGAGAAAGATGTATTAAATTACTTTTCAGATAAATATCCCAACACTTGCTAATATAGCATTTTTTATTTAAACGTAAGGAATATTTATAAAAGATAAACTATAGAAACTGTTGTACCAGTCAGTTCCCTCCCACCTTTCCTGAAAGGTTATTTACAGGAAAACAATTTAACTCACTTTATTTCAGTTTTCTGGAACATTCCAGATACTTAACAGTCCCTGCACACCCCAAATGAGTAACTGAGCATGGCAAAGATCAGGGCGTTCTTACTAGCCCTTGCCTTAAACTTGATACATTTTTTACGGCAGTCTGAACCAGTAACTGCTTTCAGCCCTTATTTGAATTTTACTTTAAAGACACTTTTTTTTCTTTACAAGATCCAGTGTTCAGTTGTATAAATACTGAATGAGCTTTAAATATTCATGTTCTTCAGAAGGGCTTGTCAATATTGTTTTTGACTTGCCATGCCAACTTGTCAGTTTCATTATTTCTTCTTTCCCCCAAGACTGGTTTCAAAGACTTAATAGAAGCTATACAGAATATGAAGGTTTATTTCAAAAGAATACATTTGCAAGAATACACATAAATGCACTCAATGTAACAGTACCTTCTGCAAAAATAGGTTACATAATACCCAGTAATGAAAGAACAATCTTATTTCTCTACAAATTAGAAAGCAGAGAGAATAGCCTGGACAACCTTCAAAACGGAGGTTATAGCTGTGTATGTTGTGAGAAGTAGCCAACTTTAAAGCATGACACCACAGAGCTAATGCTGGTAAATCAAACTAGCACACAGCTGCAACCCATTCTTTTATACAAGATTAACAAATATTTTGGTTCCAATTTGTCTTTATACAGCTCTAGTGCCTCAGGGAAAATGCTTATCAAAGATACACAAAAACTATCCAAAATTACAACGTAACTATTAAAATGCCTCCAAAATTGAGAGGAAAATAAGCATGTTAAATTAAAAAAATTTAATCAGGAGTTCTGGACAAGATTTCCTGTTTTTAATCAGAGAAAGTTTACAAGAAATTTCAATAAGTTATCTTGAAACCAAGCAGCTGTAGATCTTAGAATCTTCGTGGAGGTCCACCTTTAAATGGCTTAAATCCTGAGCCACTTCCCCTCTGCATGGAATTCCCTGTGATCTGTACAACTCTATTTATTGGTGACGAGTTACTGGAAACAAAGGTGTTAAAGAAGTGTTATCAAAAGTGTCTACACTCTTGGTGCAACAGATAAGAACATCCATACTTCTCATATCACTTAACTGTTAAGTCTCAAAAGAATCTTCAAACCATTCAAGACAAGAGGCTTTACAGGAAGCTTCTGAACAGCACTAGCAGAACAAGAACTGTGGAGCCAAGTGCTGGCATTTAAGGATGGATTGCATGTTGCACAGCAGCAAGCCTTTGCTGCTATACTGAGGCTACTGCACTTCTAAAGGATAACGTGCACACTGGGAGCTCACTGGGGAGGTCGAAGGAAGGAATAATTTGTGTACCTCGTGTGTGGAGACATCATGCCACTTCCTCCACGGCCATCTCCCATTCTCCTTGCATCATGATACCCACTTCCTTGAGAACTAGGTCCATGCCATTCTTTCCTTGGTCCAGTTTCACGACTGTGCCGTTCAACAACATGTCTGTCTTCATTGTAGTGCTAGCAAGAAAGTTATTTTAAGAATGAAAGGTCTATTTCATCATCAACATGAAGTGAGTTTTTCAAGAAAGCTAAGCCAAGAACTCTCCAGCATCACTACCTCATACCTAGTAGTTTGGGCTTTCAATCCATAAGCATCTAAACCATTTTAAAATAAGTCCTGTTAGAATAACTCTAGGTATCAAAGTGGAACTGTTTTGCAGTAATGAGTGTGCAAAGGGTGAAGTTTCATGAGCTTGTAATTTACTCCCAGTTCTACCCCAAGAACATAATAACTAAACAAACATATTCCACGTATCTGCACAAAGAAACATTAAATGCTTCAGTTGAGAGTAGCATGAAAAACTGGCTTTTGTTGGCTTTCAAGTTAAATCATACAGAATGTTTTTTCACTTAGAAGCACTGAAAGTAACACGCAGCGTCAGATTAAGAACCTGAAAAATGTTATGATAACATATTCTGAAAAGCCTAATCAGCAACTCATTCACATCCTGTTCTGACCCACCTGGAAGAAACTAGACTTAAGAACCAGGTATGTTTTCTGCAGATATTTTAGCTTAGTTAAGGAAAAAAGCAATACCAATAGTATTTAAAGAGAAACAAGCAGCTTTAAACTAGTTAGAATGCTTGTTACGATTTATGTGATGCTATGTTGTCAGCTCATTTTTCCAGCATTATTTTTTATTTCCCAGTTTCTTCCTGCCTTGTGCATACACATAGAATAAGAATTACTTACTTGTCCTCCACCACCTCGCTCTCCCATCACTCCTCGTTCTCCTTCCCTGCTTCCATACCCAGAAGCACTGCTCCGGCTCCCAGGAGGTGCACCTCTTACATGTCCAGACACTTCTCTTCCTGATCGATCTGGCCTCTCACCTCTGTAAAAGTTGCTTTTATCAAAATTGTGGTTTCAGTATAATATAGTAGATACCAAAACCTAACAGACTTCTAAACACTCCATATTGCTAGCAACTTGCAGGTGGCTTCTGGGAAACATTCTTTTAAATCTACATGGCTCACTAAATATTGAGAAGTGTGCATGTATTTGTTTATATCAGCATTTTTACATAAAAAGCCTCCTTCCTATATATTTCTTTGCATAAATAAGAATAGACTGTTAGGCGTCAGCATAGAGTTTATTGATGTTTAGTATATGTGACAGAGTAATCATCAAGTTTTTCCTAATGTTTTGGAAAGGGACTTTGCTACTCTTTAGGAGGGAATCTGTTCTCTCTTCACCCATCAATTCTTGAGGCATTATTACCATGGATAAATTCTACAAGAATCACTACTTTCACTAGTTGTATATCCAGGAAGTTTACCTGCCATCACGTTTGTCTGTGCTTATGCTTCCCTCGTTCTTCCAATTTGTTTGCCTAGGTGGATTTGAACCAGTCTCTCTTGGATGTCGACCGTGTGGTATTTCAGGTCTGTCATGAATTATCACTGTTCTTCTTTCATCTCTGTCTCCCCGCACTTCCCGTCTGTCTGTATCTCGAAGTTCACCTCTTGGTGGTGGTGGCTCATTTCTTCGGGAGTCACTGAAATTCTTTGGGTATCTCTCAAACCCTGGTTCTTCTCTTCGTGCTGTTGGGCGAGTCTTTTTTGCTTCACCTTGATTTACAAATCGTTCTCGCCTAGGTTGTTAAAGCAGGAAAAAGTCATTTGCTTGTCTTCCATTCTTCCCATTTCTCCTTAAATATAAGCTCAGAGGTTAGGAGATACTATTCATATAATCATATTTAAAAATACTATTCATCTTTTTACATGGTATACATTGCAAGAATCCTTACACACTGAATTACATTTGTCTTTACAGTTAGCATTTTGAACGTGAGTTCTTAAATCCACCTTAACATTTTTCAGTGGATTTTTCTGTGTGTAGTTTGGCATCTGCAATATTGAAGTCTTGTAGGGTCTCCTTTTTACTTTCCTGGTATGAAGCACAGGGAATGCTAGATTTAGCCTTGCTTCTTAAGATGAATTAACCAAGCAGGACAGATCTAATTCATGAGAACCCATTTGTGACAAGGTATGAAAGGAAGAGTAATTGCAAAATTTCTTTTGTAGCATGATGAAAAGACCACCATGCAGCAATTCAAGATCTCCAGAAAAAAACAAAAAAATTTATGATATAAATGGCCAGTCCTGAAGTAATTTCTAGACACTGCTACAATTCTGTTGCTGCACAATGACATCTTTAACTATTCTAAACGTAAAGATGTTGGCAGACCCAATACCTGCTGCCCCATTATCATAACTTACCTATCAAAAGATGACGATGGAACAGAACCTTCTGGGTATCGCCCCCGTTCTCTGTGATCGAAATCATTAAATCTGTTTGGTTGGCGGCTGTAATCTGAACTGTGACTAAAACGTGCATCTGTATCAAGAGCCATCTTCTTACTCTCATTCCAGTAAGGATCATCTCTCCTTTAAGAGAAACAAAGGAGCCATCATCAGTTACATGTATCCAAATCACAGCCTAATACTACTGAAAATAGTTTCAATTATGCATCAGTCATCAGCTTTAAAGACAAGCATTTGAACCCTTGTAAAGCTTCTAAAGGAATAAGATTGTATCCATAAATGTAAGAAAAATGATTTTGGTGTTTTTGTTTCCTTAGACTACCAATCAACAGTATTTTGTAGCTTAGATTTTAGATACCATCAGTATAAAACAATACAACCAAAATTCTGCCTTCAAAAGTCTTCCAGGATAAATAATAACAGCAGCTTTCTAGATAAGAAAAAAAATAATAACCAAAACAGCTTTCTCAGGAAAGAACAGTGTAGAAAGCATCACCCCCTTGATCATCAGAAGCACTCAGGTGCAGTCTTCATGATGAGAAAGCAAGACACTGTTACTTCATGTGGAGAATAAAGGCAGCTTCATTTTCATGTACTTCAGTATTCTGCTATTGTTTCTAGCATGAGACCTTACAATTGCCTTCTATTGTACCTCCCTTAAGTCAACTTTATGGCAAAGATCTCAGTCCTATTTTTTCAATTATAGAAACTACTTCTGAGCTATGATTCAAGTGGCTCAAGCAGCCAGTGGAACAAGTCATCAACTTGAGCACAAATGAAAAGCCACACACTGGCTCCCCTGAACCATTAATTTATCAGGAAAGTAAATTCTTAATGAATTAGAATCTAGAAATTTTGGCCATTAAGGCAGGAGAATAGCTTTTCTCAGCAAATGCACTCAATTATACTAACATTCTTTTGGTACTGTAAGACTTAATTACCAGGATGCTTCTATGTCAAAGCTCTCTGATACAGATACCACGTTTCATACCTGACATACACTGATGTCAAAAATAAATACCAGAATTTCAGTTCTTCTGTTTAGACTTGTTTCAGATACAACCACTTTTCCAAGTCACAAACAGCTACCAGCTCTTTATAAGGGTTATAAAACAATGGTTTCAGAACTAGACTACCTGTGATCTACATCACGTGGACGTTTCAAAGCGTTCCTCTTTTCCTGTTCGTAGCGAAGTTGTTGTTGTTGTCGACGAAGCTCCTCCCTTTCACGAGCAATACGCTCTGCTTCTTTTCGACGTTCCTACCATGAAAGGGATGGGTAAATAAGCACATCAGACAAAAGAGCTCTAATAAGAGATACGTATGAAATAGTAAGTATACAGAACTAATGTTTGACAGTTTTCTACTAAAGGCTGTCTGATATAATTCATGCTTGGATAGCACCCAAGACTCAGGAGCATGAAGGAATATTTCTCTAAAGAAGAGACAATGCATCTGTTAGGTATGAAGAAGCACCTGGAGATTTTTATTTACTAATTCATTCACTGCCCAGAAATACAGCTCATTAAGTTTGCTATGCCATTGTTCTCTAGGAAAAAGCTAATAAAATTACTTAAGACTAATTAGTAGAAGCAGTGTCACCTACTGAACTTCAGTATTAGTGTTTCTGACAGACACTACTGTATCAAGAACTTGCCATCAAATTACTAGTCAAGCAAGCTAAAGACTGCTGCTGCTGCTTTACAACGTTGCTTATTTATTGTTGTGGTTCTTCTGAGGTCTGAGTGGAAGGCCAAAGAGAAATTCATATCAAGTGCAAACTGAGTTACAGTCCTCAACTGATAGTGCATTATGGTCTGAACTACAAGTATGCATACCTGTTCAATACGAACACGCTCTCTTTCCAAACGTTCTCGTTCCATCCTTTCCCTCTCTAGCTTTTGCCTTTCAATTTCTAATCGTTCCCTTTCTCTCTGCAAGCATTCTTCTCGTTCGTGCATTATTCGGATACGTTCTCTCTCTCGACGTTCCCTCTCAGCAATTTCTCTTCTCCTGAAGGAAGACAATAAAAACAACAAAAAGAGGTAGCAGAAACTGAGTTGGAAAACTTTCTCCTCTAAAACTAACATCACCGTAGGCACAGACATTCATAAACTATTTGTGAGAAGGCTAGTACTGAGAGAAGCTGTGGTATTAGAAGCCTACTCCTTTTAGCCCTAAGTAGCCAAACTGTATTCTGCAGAACCACTTAAAGCAGACAACAGCTACTGAAACATTTAAGTCATGAATTATCATTCTGAGTTTTTTTTTTTTTGCACGATTCATACTGCTGTATTGTTATCTGGCAGGTAACAACAGTAGCCTAGCAAATAATTCCATTTTGATCTTCAAAATACTTGCTGTTTTAGCTGCTGCACACTTCAGACTAACAAAATTTTAATTACTTTCTGTCCAAAAATAAGACAAAAACATGACTGTTCCGAGTTGCACAGATAGTATTCTTGTATGTTTTCTTCATCCCCACCTCCTATAGAACAGCTTACAGGAAGCAGGAAAGGTATTTTCTCCTATGCTTACTGGAAATTCCTTTGTTTTGGGAAATCCAATGAAAAACACAAGTCACTTAACTATTCCCTGCAAACTTTTTGTCACATAAAATAAACAGAATAAAAGAAACTAGCCATTTATTCCTTTTATGTAAAGAGACAAGATGGTATTTTGCTCGATTTGTCATTTAGGCATGTAATAGATCTCAGAAAGTTACTATCTTTGGCCACATCTCCTATTCAACTTCTTGTCCTTTTGCAAAGCAAACTAGCATGCAGTCACACCCCCCTAACAAGCACTAAGCTATGCACATACACATATGGCTTTTAAAATATTAAACAAGAAATTGTGAGTCATTTTATTTGTACAAGGGTACTGTTAGGTACAATCTCAGACTTTAACATCTGAGTAAAAGGTCTGACAATACATTCTAATTAGATTTCTAAATAAAGTATCTGATAATTAATGTGTAAAATAGCCTTTAGCAAAAAGTTGAATTACTACCTTCGGAGTTCAACAGCTCGTCGTATTCTTTCCAATCGAACCATGTGTTCTCGCAATCTCTGTTCCTTCATCTTTTCAAAAGGCAAGATATCTTTTCTACCCCTGTATTCCCTGAATTTCACTTTATCTTGAATAATACGCTCTTTGTTCCTCAATATCTGCGGCTATAGATAGAGATTACAATGGTTATTTCAGAAGTCTCATTCACTTAGGGAGATTTCTGGATGCTACGTTCAAATACCATTAACTACTGAGCATACAAAGCTTCTATCTAAGCTTAGTAGTTTATGATACTTCACAGACTCTCAGGAAAATAATAACAACAATGATATGTGTGTAAGATAGCATCAAATCATAAGGATTCCAGTAAATCGATTGAAACTTACTTTCTCAAACCTTCCCCTTCTCACTGTCCTAGAGTGGCCTTGGTCTCCTTTTGTTTGGTCAAGAACTACAACGTGACCTGGGCTTTTACCACCTAGGGAATAAGGAAGGAAAAAAAGAAAAAAAAAAAAGGAGGGGAGCAATTTAAAACAAACATAGTCTTCTTTTGCTTATTACAGATATTCATTGACTTAGAGATTTAGAAATGTCACTGAAGTGCTACTGGTAGCAGAAGCATGCCAGCACATTTCTGTAGTTAAGCATGAATGGAACTTCACATTGGCTCTGAAGCAATAGATATTACTGGATTGTAGAGTTGAATCAGTGGTTAATTATTTTTGTTCCAACTAAAAGCAAGAACATGCCCCCCAGACAAGTCAGACACAGATTCACAAGGAGGAAACATGGCTATATTGCATACTTATTCTTTTCTTTTCTTCAGATTTTTTAGTGGATTCTTGATTAGGGCCACTTGCTCCATTATCACTCTTCTCATCTTTACCTTCTGTTTTCTTGGCTTCTTTACTTTCTTTTTTTTCAGATTTCTCAGATTTCTTCTCTTCTTTTTTGGTTGATGGTGTTCTTGTTAGGAAAGAAACACACAAACACAATGAGGAAATTCAACCTAAGGAATTTTCACAACTTTAGGAGACATGTGAAAGTTCTTACTTGCTGGTTTTATCACTTGATGCAGTTTTCTTATCTCCTGTGCTTCTACTTGAGCTAGATTTCTCATCGCTTTCCTTCTTCAGCTCCTTTTTGGAGGGATCGCCTTTTACCTACATTTTTTTCAAAAGCAAATATGTTAATACAGATTTTTGTCCAAGATGGTCTATTTGGGTGAACTTTTCATTTTATTAAACCTACTTTCTCAACAGAAATTTGTTGTCCATGCAGCTCTGTCCGATGAAGGTGGGCGATACATCTGGCCACTTCTGTACTAGAAGACATGGTTACTATGCCGTAACATTTTGCCCCTGGACTTCGTGCATTTGTGACCACCTTTGCACCAAGTACCTACATAAGCAGGTGAAAATTAGGTCTTTAGAAACACATTTCTAATGAGGAACAGATGATATGCCAATAACCTTTTTACCCTAGTATATATGAAACAACAACAAAAAAACCTCACCCCACTGGAAGGAACAACACTACAGGTTTTGTAAAGCAAACAATCACACCCTTTCAAAACCTTTATCCCAACTTTCAAATCATGGCAAATTAAAGCGTATGTCATGTTTTGACCAGTAACAACCACATGCATGTTACCTAACCGCTCTTTTTTTTTTTTCTTTTTCTTTTTCTTTTTTGAGAACTACCATCAGAATTCATGCTGATCTGAAATTGATGTTTCATCTATAATGGATGAACATGCATAAAAGAAACAAGTCAGCTGCTGCCAATTAATCACAAGAAGGTATAGTAAATTACTGCATAATATTGCTTAAGGCAAAAAGTTCTTTAAAAGGTAACTACCAAATGTGTCAACCAAGCAGCTTTGGTAACCAACTCTTAGACATGTGCCTCTTGAGAAAACATGAAGTCTTGTGTTGTGGCTCCTTGTTAGAGTTTCAGTAACAACAGGAGCAAGTCTTATTGGTTGACATAATTTATAGTGCATTAATTTAATCATTTTAGCAGCCTGCAGTGCTGCAGTCATTTAGTCATTACATTTTTCCCCATTTACTTAAAAGTGGGTATTGAAGTACATACAGCTGCTGAACATCTATCAAGCAAAAACAGGCAGAGAATTGGAAATTTTAACAAAACAGACTCTTATGTTTCACTACTCGTGAAGTCATTAAATAAAAGTGCCTCCTTAATTTATTATAAAGATCAGATTCATAGAACTCCTATACTAACCCAAAATCCAGGAAAACTGACTTAGTTTAAGCAGCCTGTAATAAACTTCATAAGAAGAGTCCCCAGAAGAGTAGACATTAGCAGTCATATATTTTAGCTTATTTTTCCCCCACTCAGAAGCCCTTAGAACACTTTTTTTTCTTTTAGTAAGTCTTTCAATCTTAAATACAGTTGCTGCAGAAGAACTTAGTCATCGCTATTCAATTAAAAAAAAAATATCTCAAGGCTTAAAGTCAGTCCTGACCTCAATGTTATTGCCATTTATATCTTACCTCAAAAGGAAAACAACTTTCTTATTAAGTTATGGGTCTTCCTGTAAGTACAAATTCTGACTTAAGATGCTGAATGTACTGGGGGTTTTTTTTAGGTTATACTGGTTAGACATTTCATCTCAGATTTGTATTTAAATGAATACTCAATTTCTGTATTTGCATAGAGTAAGGGTGTCATGGTTTCAGCTGGGACAGAGCTAATTTCTCCTTCATAGTGTCTGGTATGATCCTATGTTTTGACTTCAGGAGCAAAACAGTGCTGATAACACACTGGTTTACAGTTGTTGCTGAGCTGTGCTGTACAGAGCCAAGGCTGTTTCAGTTTCTCAGATTCTTGTACTGTCCTGCCAGCGAGAGGCGCTGAGGGAGCACAAGGAGCTGGGAAGGGACAGAACCAGGAGAACTGACCTAAACTGGCCAAAGGGATATTCCATATGACATCATGTGGAAAAAGCCTGAAAACAGTGGGGAGTTGGTCTGAGAGCTGCTGCAGCTTGGAGACTGGCTGGACATCAGTTGGCAGGAGGTGGGGATATGCACTGAGCATCACTTTGTTTGTATATGTAGTAATAACTATAACTCTACCCTCCCCTTCCCCCCCCCCCTCCTTTCTTCTCTTAGTAAGTAGTTTTTATCTCAACCCACAAGTTGTACTTTGTTGTTTTGGGTTGGTTTTTTTCCCCTGATTCTCTCCCATTGGGAGTGGAGGGAGTGAGCAAACCATTACAGTGTGGTGTTCAGCTGCCTGCTAGGATAAACCACAACAAGGGGTTATGGGGGAGGAGGCACACATAACACACACAATATCACACCAGATGAAATACCTTTCCATATTTTCCAAAGAGATTTTTCAAGTCAGCAGCTTTTGTGTTGGAAGAGAGTCCGCTAACCCACAGGTTTCTAGTTGAACTTCCACTGCTACCACTAGCACTGCTTCCACTTCCTGAAACAAGTTTTGCAAAACAGCCAACAGAATTAAGGAGACAAAGATTCAGTGAATATTGAACTAAACTGTTGCTGACAAGAGAAACTTAGCCTGTTACCTTTAAGTAACTGTTTATCCGGTTACCTTTCTTGAAAAGACTTCTATATAAAAAAAATATGTGCCATAAGATTTCATTCATTCACCCACATCATGAGACCAACAGCTTGGCTTACTTGACAGAGCTAGGAATTCATACAACACTCTGTTTAAGGGATGCTTCAGTTCTTTAGGTAAGTTTATTAAACTTCAAGTTTTGGTTCTTATTGGTAATTTCCATCTAGAAAAACACCCAACATTTGTTTTTCATTAGTATGTCTTTACACTAACCAAATTACCAAAGCAATGACTGAAGGGTTTACGGAGAAGACAGTTAATCCTCAACATAACTTATTTTTTCTAGCCTCCAGAATCTGTTTATTTCCACAGCTTCTTGGTGTCTACCCTCGATCCAGAGCAGCTTTTTAACACACTGCTGGATGTGTGCTTACCAAATGTTAGTTTGCACATAAAGGAAAATACTAAGGACAAATAGAAAAAAGAAAAGAAAAAAAAAACAATAAGAAAAAAAACAAACATGTTTTAGCCATTATTGTAACAACTTAGAACTCAAGAGTCACATACAAATCCCCAACATCTCTTGTACTGTTTTGTTCAGTTTCTTGTTATTTGCTGTTAGGTGTATGAACTGCTTCTGTTGAAACGTAGCTGGTTGTACAGGCTAGAGAAGCACAGGAGCTCCAGTTAAACAGCTGGAAACTCTGATGGTGTGCAGTTTTCAAAGGTAGTTTAACCACCCTCAGAAACAGCTGGCTTTCCTTCTTCAATGCATCAAGATGGACTAAGAGCAAAAGGTAATAAAACCTCAGCTATCTTCATCTAGGATTATCTTGACAATCCTGGATTATCTTGATAAACTGCGATATTCTAAGTTTATCATTAAATAGCAACTATCTTGGCTTTGCATATGTATATTTTTAAGACAGCCTTATGATAGTGACTATTACAGATGTTGTAAATGCTGCATGGAAACAGATTTGCTATTTCTTTAATTTCATCATAAATATAAAATTATCATGAGCAGACAGGTATGTACAGACGACTGAATTACATCTGTCACACAAACTTCTCCTAAAAACTTCACTTCTCATGTGAAGTTCCATTCATCCTTTGTGATATGGGAGATTATTTGATGAAGATTTTTGGGAAAGAGCAAAAAAGGCAAATTAAGGAGGCACATCAGCTTTTAAGAATATATTTGCTCAGCACTGAAGCATCCATTTAACTGTTGATATTAATGCATACCAGAGCTCCACTATGAATTTTTCATTGTAAAACTGGGTTTTGCGGTAACAGAAGAAAACACCAAGGTATACAAAGAGCTTCCAACGTTACTGCACTGACAGCCACATGCACAATTTTGCTAGCCAGCATGTTAGCTGTTATACTGCAACTGAAAGTTCACTTTATTTAAAACTGAGCAAGAATTGAAGTCTGAACAAATAATTTAACTGGTGTTATATTTAAGTAACTGCATGTGAGTATTTTGCATTTTTATGCGTATATATAATCAGTCCTTTAGGCTGATGTCAAGTTGCAGTAAGCATATCTGAAAATTACACCTTCTTATCAAAACAAACACCTAGTAGATGTTGAGTTTGCTCACAACAGTATTTTGAAATAGAAGAATATATTTTCATTGAGTCCCCAGAATAAGTATTTTTGATCCTATAAGAAATCTGATCTTATAAGAAATACACACACAAAGAGCTAAGGACTACTGCACCCCTGGCACAATTTACTACAGACAAGTTCAATCATATAAGCCATTTTAATACATAGCAAGGACGTTCTCAAAGAGGAAGGCATTTACTTCAAGACAGTACTGCCCTAACTTGTAATAGTTACCTTTATCATCCTTTGATGTTGTCTTGCTTTCTTTAGATTCCTTAGTAGAGCTAGAGAAGCAAATTAAAAATCAGAAGAAAATTGAAAATACAGAATTTGCTAAGCACTGCATTTTATACTAACAGACAAGTTAACATTTCAAAAAAATAAAAAAAAAGGCTAGACTGTGTATTTGAACAAATGATTCCCTCATGGATTCTTGCACTGATTTTCCCCAGGATGCCTGAAGATCTAGATTTTCTGACAACTCTATTCAGTGGATATATGGCAATCTTCTCCAGATTTCAGGACGGGGACTTGACTTCATTTTGTGTTCTTAGAACTGATAGCTGTTCATTACCATCATCACAAGGACATTTAAAAAACTTGTCAAATTGGAAAAAAAAAATAAATAAATGCTGACAATTCGACAATGCAATCAGTAGGACATAGTGTCTATACGAAGATCTTGAATTTTAAAAAGTAACTTATGGCGGTCAAAAAAAATCTATAGGCAGGAGCATAGGATACTAATTACAAGATTCTTGCTGCTACCCCCTTAATGTAGAGTGATCTTATTGAATGCTGGCACTCAGTATCGTAAAGAACTGACATAGAAAAACAAACCTCTTTGCTTGACCAGAGGCCCCAGTAGACGAGGGACCTTTCTTCAAAGTATCCTTTTCTTTGTCTCCAGATTCTGCTTTCTTTGAACCTTCTCTGGCTTCCTTCTTGACAGGATCACCCTTCACGCAGTCTTCCTTCTTACCATCTTTATGGTTCTCAGTCATCTCATAGTCCTTGCTTTCCTTCTCCAGGCTCTGTGAAATGGCATCCTGCCCATCCTTTGGCTTACTTGCTTCAGAATCTGTAATTTTCACATTTTTACCTGTTTCTAGGAGGTCATCACCATCAAAATCCAGAGTGATGGCATCTTCAGCCTGGATTGTAACCGATATGTTATCATCCTCAGCTTCTTTCACAGACGTGTTAGCTTCCATCTCTTCATGAGCCGTGTGATCAGCCTCAGCTAGGCTTTCTTCTGAAGGAAGAGGTTTAGATACTTCTTGTGTACCATCACCAGAACCTGCTTTATCTAAGAGGATTTAACAGGAATAAATATGGCAAAACAAGAAGTTTAAACAATTTCATATGCATATGCTAGAATAGGACCTAGAAAATACAAAGCCAGTTATTAGCACTGATGGAAGGTTAGGAAAAAACACAAGGTGTATTAACACAAATATAAATCCTTTACCCAGGATCACTTATTCTTCATGGCAAAACACATTTCCTAGAGACAAATACCAAAACATTAGGAGTCAGAATATGGTTCCATCCTGGAGATACCCGTTCTTCATAAGAAGTATCCATTTTCCAGTTTAGGATTTAGCATGTCATAAGAAAATAGTTGCCTTGGATGCTCACAGTTTGGTTTAATCCATCTTTCAATCTTCCTGGTTTTGAGACTTCAAACCTTCCCAAATCCAAAAGTATTACAGTCTTGGAGAATTTCAGTCAGTCTTCCACGTTGGTAATCTTTGGCTTTTCCTTTCCAAGCTTGTTGTTTGGCAGTCAAGTTAACTGTACAAGGCTACTGCAGAAAATAGAGTGAGCTTTAATCCAGAGTTCGTAGACAGATGGTTCTCAGTCTTCATCCACTGGACAGATTTTCCATCTCAGTCCTACACCGGCACCTCAAACGGTGTTCTTCAGCTTGCACTGGAGATATTTCAGTCGTAGGTCCCTCGTACACAAGGAGTCTGTAGTTTTATCCTGTAACTTCAGTGTTAATTCCATCTTGCGTAACGTGATGTGTCCTTTTCTAGTCCACAGTATGTAGAATCCTTAAGACTTCTGTCCAGAAAGTCTGTTTGCCCAAATGCATTATATTCCTTCTATAGTTTCACTAATGAGTACAGCTTTAAAATAAAGGTAGCCACTCCACAGGTTTCCAAACACTTGTTTTACCATTCTATATATAAATGGTATTTCCAAGTGACAGTAAGCCAAGCATATGATGATCCACACATTTTTGAATGCTCAGGTTCAGTGTAAGGGAGTATCATTTCAACTCAATTAAACATCAGTTACTGCAGTGCAAGTTGGAAGCATTTGCATCAAGACTTACCGTATACTAGAATCAGAGTCCTTGAATACTATGGTTGCTTTTGTGTTTGTTTTTTGTTTTTTAAGACTAATGGTATTGCAGCTATACTATACATCCACTACAGTAACTGATAAGTACTGTAATCAACTCTTAAAAGTAAAATAACTCTTAAGAGCGAGAGAAACCCATTGACTGCAGTGATTCCAGGTGCTAAGCTTAATAAGGAAACAACTGATACTTAGTACTGGAGACAAGACTAAGATTAGTAAAGAGACCAAATGTTACAGGAGAAAATTGCCTGCTCTTACCAGGCTAAAGACTTTTGAACTATATTAAACTTCAAACATACCTTTCTCATTTTCCTCATCTTCACCATCCTGCAAGAAAAGGAAGTCAAGACTAAATGTCTTCTATTTTAGAACTTAAGGTAGAACAATTCATATTTTCTATCAAACTTCAATCACATGAAGGCTAATCAAAGAAGTGAAAAACTACTTCCAACGAAAACATGACACAGGAACTAAGACTGTGTTCCTTCCTTGTCAAATCACTGAAAATTTGTACCAAAGTTCGCTAGTATCTGTCTGCAACACTTGCAGTTGGCTGCAACATCAAACTGTCCTCTGTCCTGCTGTAGCCTTTAGAATAGATGGATGTCACACTTCTAAGCACTACTTTCAGTAAAACATAAGCACTCCATCACTGGCTTTGAAAGCTTATGAGAAGGAAGCCTACCTCATTTCAGACTTCTCATTCAGTATTTCAAGGAGAAACACAATAAGTAAATTCTTGTCAAAATCTAACACCCCTAATAAGACATGATGTATGAGATGTCAGTTCCATGCAACTCAGACTGTATTTCTGAGCTTAGAGATGTTACAAATGTTAGCATTAAAAAAAATCAAAACAAAACAATAAATTCCCCAGAGACACATTTCCAATTTAAACCAGAAGTTCTATGCCTAAGAGCTGTTATACTATGTTATCATTTGTCATAGCCCTCTATAGCATCTTTAAGACAGTTTAGAAAACATTCCTTGCTAAGTTTATGCAATGAATAGTCCCAGATTATATATGGGAGTTTGCATTTATATGTGATGCCTTATTTGGAAGTCACAATTATTTGCTCTATTAAAAACAAACAAATAAATAAAAGCTCCCTTAATGTAGAACAGTGAAGATGAGAGTAAACAGTACCTGATCCTAAGATGCAAGCTGGAACAAAAGGCAGTCTAAAATGATCTTTTCAAAATTAGCTAATGTGCAAAACAATTAGAAATTATTAGAACTCACATGGACACTTGGAAAAGGGTAATCCTCCATGTCTTGACCTTCATTTTCCTATAATAACATAAAAGGAACTTGCTCAGCAACATACTTGTTTTATGACACTTAAAAAAAAAAACAACAACAAGCAGAGCTGAGAGATTCAGTTAACTCAAAACATTTTAGCTAAATCCATACGCATTTGAAAAGTCCATCTTCAATCAAGTTTAGTGTTCAGACTAACTACATCATTACTAGTAACAAGGAAAAGAACCACCTGGGAAGTCAATTTTGGACTATGGTACAATTTTATCAATTAATACCACATTTATTTCAGGCCTACTCAGATACAAACCAAGAAAAAAGCAGAAAGAAAAAGACTTCCAAACTATCTTTTAGAGATAAGAAAGCAAGAAGTGGAAAAACTAGTTCTCACTTCCCATGAATATATGTTGCTGATAACAATGAACTTAAAATACAGAGTACCTGATTTTCAGAATCCTTTTCTACATCTTCTGTTGTCTCTGCTGGCTCCACGTTGAGGTATTTTTTCTTTTCTGCAGATGGGAGTTCTTTAGAATTCAAGTTCTCATCTTCAACAGATTCTTTAAAGTCCTTCAGTTCATCATTTCCATCTTGATCGCTTGTATCTTGAGTCTCCAATTCACTTTCCTGTTGATGTGAACAACAAATATTTGGCATTACAGTGGTTATTAGATATATTCAAAAAAAACCCAAACAAACAAACACCCAAACCACCACCGAAATCACCATTAGAATCACTGTTTTTGCAAAGTTTTTTTTTTTTTTTTTTTTTTTTTGGCTTTAACTAAAACCAAACACTGAACTTAAACAGAAACTGGAATATACTCCAATTTTTGAAAACAAAACAAAAAAAATACATACTTTTATTACCTTGACAAAGGAATCATCTTCAACTGAAGCATCACCAGTTGATTCATCAGCTTCCTGCTTTTTACCTGACAAAACAGGACAGGCTAATGACAAAAGCTGCAAAGTACAGTATGCTTTCTTTCAATACTGATTACAGGTAGGGCATTACTTTATTATTTTCTATGTGCTCCAGTTTATCTGAGCTGTTCTCTACTGCTTAACTCTCCTAAAGTCTAGTGTTTTTTAAGATGAGGAGGGAAAAAGAGTCAGATGAGTATGAACCATTAATGCTGTTTCATAAACAAGAAGTTACATCCAAGTTAGTGACTTGATATAATATCAACTCCTGTACTTTTAGTTACAATGAAATGTAAGAGAACATTAAGTATACACATCTAGCATTGCTAGAGCTAAAGTACACTTTATAACTTAAGAATTTGGAAAGACCGGTCTTTATAGGATAACTAGCATCTCAGAGCTACTTCAGTTAAAAAGAACTTCTGAAGATCATCTAGCCCACCCAACCTCCAGAGAGCTGCAGAGAGCACTAATTTCCAAGTTACAATCATGTTGCTCAAGGTTTCATCTAGCTATGGTTTCGATTATCTGCAAGTCTGGAAGGTTCTCAAAGCCACCTTTATTGAGAGCTTTTCATTACTGCAGGGAATAATCAGCAGCACAAATGAGGTCATGCATCTGGTTTACACAGGGCACATTTCACTGAAGAATTCCAGTACACATGTGCTTTTTTCAACTAAGGATGTCTCAGTGAAGATGACAACTAGACAGACTGCCCTTTGGAACCCACTGCATTTCACAGAATCATAAAAGTTGGAAAAGACCCTTAAGATCATCTAGCCCAACTGTCAACCTGTCACCATCATGCCCACTAAACCATGTCAGTCAGTGCCACATCAACCCTCTTTTTGAAAATCTCCAGGGACGATGACTCTACCACCTTCCTGGCCAGCCCATGCCAATACCTTACCACTCCTTCTGAGAAGAAATTCTTCCTAATATCCAATCTGAACCTCCCCAGGTGCAACTTAAGGCCATCACTTCTCATCCTATTGCCATTACCTGCGAGAAGAGGCTGACCCCACCTTACCACAACCTCCTTTCAGGAGCTGTAGAGAGCAATAACGTCTCCCCTGCTGCTCCCCATAACACTTGTGCTCCAGTGCCCTCACAGCTTCATTGCCCTTCTCTGGACACACTCAGGGCCTCAATATCTTTCTTGTAAAGAAGGATCCAAAACTGAAAACACCACTTAAAATCTTGAGACCTCACCAGAGCTGCTCTGTATGAGGGACGATCACTTCCAGCTCCTGCTGGCTGCACTGCCTCCAATACAAGTCAGGATGCTATTGGCCTTCTTGGCCACCTGGGCACACCAGAAGGTAGGGCCTCCTACCTGCAGGCATATCGACAGGTCCTCCCAGCTTGGTATCATCTGCAGATTTACTAACGTTGCACTCAATCCTCTCATCCAGATCATCAATAAAGATATTATATAGGGCCATCCCCAACTGATCACTGAGTAACACCAGTTGTGACCAGTCACCAGCTGGATTTAACTCCAAGCTCTGGCCCTGCCCTCCAGCCTGTTTCATACCCTGTGAAGCGTAACTGTCCAAGCCATGGCTTCCAGCTTCAAACCTTCAGCAAAAACAAGACTAAAGAACACTAAATACAGACACGTCCATACCAACATGCCCCTTCTAGGGCGTTCTGTCCAATTCATTCTATTGAACATGAGCCTATGTTACAATTTTAAGCAGCTCAATCAGAAAGCAGCTCTTTTGGGAAGAAGTGTTGCTATCTCCCGTTGAAAATTTGTATCAATTCAAGATGCAAATGAGATTAGTTGTTTTCACTGAAAGGCAACACTGACAGCATGCATACACCGCTCTGCAGTTTTCAGCTCAGAAATAAACTAGTCTCCAGGAAAAGACACATGGCAGAAGTTACGTTTATGGTTACAAAACATGAGAAAGTTCCAATCTAAATGCATGGAGAGAACCAACAAAATATTCTCATTTTTTTATTTGGAATGCAGTAAATTTCAATAGATTTGTGAGATTTCAGAGGAAAACAAAAACCAAAAAACCCAGAAGCATAGGTATACTGAGGAAAGCTGGCTTTCTATAGAAAGAGATGCAGACTGATGTCAGAGAGGATAGTTTTCTATATGCTTCACAGCTGATGTCTGAAGAAAGAGTACCCCAAACTTTGTACTAATATTTCACCATTCTACAATATAACCTATAGCTGCAGATAACCTCAATATAACTAAAAAGCAGAGAGATGAATGTGTCCTTCTGGTCTATTTTCTGCTTTAACATTCTCATTTCAGCTCTTCAGTTTGTTAAACCTGCAGGTCCAAGTTCTTCCTGCGTCCCAAACCGACTTAACCATACAGAGAAGTACCAATGCATACAGCTGATGCCAGACATTTAGCAATTAGTTAGCATGTACAATCTTGAAAACTATTTAAATTCATTCGTTTTGCCTGAGGAAATCTGGCAGGTGAACTTTACAGTGAATAAAAAAGAACTGACACAGCTATCTCTACTATGTCCCATCACTCTGCACTGGAGGCTAGAGGTAGGAAGTTTACTTTCAGTGACAGTTCTGCGTTTCAGGTTACTTTGACCTGATCAGTTACTTACTTCACAGGACTGATGTTGGCATAGGTTCATCAGTGACGGTGACTTGCTAAAAAGTAAAAATAAAAAACCAAACCTGCATTCATGAAAATTCAAAACTTCTCTCTGTTCATTCACCGCAGACTGTCGAAAGTGAGACTGTAACAAACATCCTTCAGAAACCAACGTTTGTGAACGTGCTCAAGACCAGTCTCAGTTAGAGGAAAATAACTGTGGCTAGAAGGTATGTTAAGAACTACTGTCCTGACAGCTGAGCCTTCTGAAAACAGGCGCAGTGAGTCTCAACTCATACAAGCTGTCAACAAACTGAAACATCTCATGTGTACGGTTATCTACGCAGTGGCTACTGAAAATGTCAGTGGCGTAAATAGTACTCACCACAAATGTGGGTGCCTGAGCTAACAACACAAACAGTAATTTGCCTTGGTATGATGGCACTCCTTTGTAAGCTGTGCTCAATCGCTTTTCTGGCAATGGATACACACCATAAAATTGCAACAGACTATTTACCCAGAGAATGGGTGTCCTCTTTAGAACTAAGCAGAAAATTTAGAACATCTTTTAAAATATTGTTTAAAATATTGTAAAATAAACGTGGGTTTATTTTCTACCATTTACAAGTCCTACAGTAGCTTAACTTTGCCCTATCCATTTGTGGCCCTCTACATATGGAACTGAGACTGAATATCCAAAATTACCTAACATTGTATGCTAGACAAGTCTTCAACAATTCAACCTATATCAATATTCCATATAGAGTTTTCCTAATAGACAGTGCTCAGAAAGAAGCCACCTCACTTCTTCCACAGACAAGAGTTGCAGCAGAACTGACTACAAAAGACATTCAGATCTAAAATTGATGATATAGCTGATTTCCAACCCACACCCCCAGGGAAACCTTCTCTCCTATTCACCTCTCTGTCTGCCGAGAGAAAATTTATCCATAACTCCCACTCTCTTACCTTTTCTAAGGCTCTATTTTCTTTCTAACTCCAAGAAACATCCACTACTCCTCCTACTCTGCTTTGTACAGCAGTAGTAGTGTGAACAAAAAAAATCCTGCTGAACTGGTAGTGTCATTCATTTTACTGCTAGGCAGCAGTAAAATAATTAAAGTTACAAACCCACTAGAACGAGTCTCAAGTTATTGGGAGTTGAAACATCAGCACAAGGCTTGGAACAATCTATGAGCAAAATCAGTAAAGGATGCAACACTACACACAATGAAGAGTACATACAAGCCTAAGGAGGAACAAGATACTTCATTTTGAGAGAAAATTCAGTTGACAAGCATGCATCTCCTACATGCCTTCAGAAGTTTCCTAGTGACGTGGTTAGGGAATACATTTTTCAAGTGGTAGATTTCCAGGTGTAGGGGGAAACCTCCTGGCTATCAACAACATATTTCAACAAAAAAAAGCAGCAGACAGAAAGAGAAGACAAAATCAAAATCAGCAGTTAAGACAAACAATGCACAGCTAAAAAGAAAGAGTATGGCTTTGGTAGAACACATTTTCCTCCAGCTCAAAGGTACTGATCAGAAAGAACAGTTAGCAGTAATCCAGTAAGATCATAAAAGATTTTCCTTCAACCAATTAGTGATTTTTTTTTTTTTTCTTGTTCTTAATTTGGAAGATTAATGAAGCACAAACCTTTCTGTTTTGGCACAAAATATGCTCCTAAGACTTTTGTACTCCCAAAAGTAAAGAGAAAGTTTGCAAGAGTGAGCAGATAAGAACTTAATGAAGGTCATATTTTGCTTTGAGTTCTTCTAAGGCTGTACACGTGATACATATGAGCCTTACAATTTAATTCCCCAGAAGAGGTGGCAACAAGCAGCCACTGAAGCCAGGCAGCACCAACACTAGCAAGCAAACTATCTTTGTGGAAACAAAACAGTACAACTACACAAGAAGCTGGGTCAAGAGCGTTGTCAGCCTAGTTTGGAGACCAGGAGGATAAAAAGCAGCAGAACTTAAAATGCTTAGAAAAGCATTCATCACAGCAGAACTAACTGCCATTTAGATCTCTGCATTAAAAATTGTGGAAGTATGTCCTTATTTAGCTTCCATGTTGTTTTCTTAAGCGCTGGTTACCATCCTCAGAGTAAGGAATAAAGTAAAGCCGCAGAAGAGAATGAAACCATATTCTCAGCTTATTTGCCTTCACTTTTCTAGTGTGCCATAAGCACAGCTGGGATGTCACTCAAACTCTCTATAGAGACATTTTATTATTAAATTGCCTTCTCACAGCGCCAGACAGAAACAAAATCCATTTCCACCACAAAACCCAGCCTAAGACAAGTGACAGTGGTATATGATCAACCATTTCCAAAGCAGGTATCTATGAACGTTCATAGCATATATGTTCAGTGAAGAACACTGTGTAAAGCAGACATTCCCTTTGCCATTATTACTTGACAGGTTACAGACACCCTCAGAAAACAAGCAACTTTCCCCCAGAACTCAAGTTCACAAAACACAAATAGTTACGCATAAGTAAACAGTGCCAACAAAATCTCTGCCAAATATATCAGTTTATAATCTAGATAATTATTTTTCACAACATAAGAACAAAAGTTTCTTAATATGACATTTTAAATCACACTGAAAATTCTGATTATATTCAGGAATCTCTCGGTTATAAACCATCAGTGACAATCATGTTGATAAGTCACAGCACACAGCATTCCCCAGGCTCTGACCCCTACCACATACTGTTCCACACTCACCACTAACGTGGGCCAGGTACCTTCTCACAGCTGAGCAACCTGCCAGCTCACCCCCTGCCCTTGCACGGGCTCTCAGCCACTGCACTGACACCCACCCATGAACACTCCATGCTCAGGATCCCATGGCACATCCCCAAAGATCTTACAGAACATCTACAATGTTAAGGAGCACAGCACAAGTCTCCAGGATCCAAAGACTGTACAGCCAGCACCTTATGACACAACACCTGACCAACACATCCCATACGCATACAGCACCCCTATACTTTGCAAGGCCCAATGCATTCCACACCCTCAGTGATAAGCAGATGTGTGACACAGGGAGACAGACAGACAGCATGCTGCAGCAAAAGGAAACGAGCCGGTGCAACAGGTGGTGATGGGGGAAGCAGAGATGATGAGGAAGGAAATACCATGAGTGGAAGCAAGTGCAGAGGACTTATGTACAGAACTCACAAACAGTAAAGTGCAGGCACAAGCAGGGCCACGGTTCATTGTTTCTTTCTTAAGGTGCTGCATGCAACAAAAACCTGCTTAAATCTATAATATATATCAACAGGTATTCACCTTTGCCTTTAGCTGGCTTCTTGGTGGGCGTGTCAGCAGAAACAGTTATTTCAATGTTATCCGGATCACCTCCCTCCTCTTCGATAGCCTGAACGAGACACAGAAGGGCAGTTTTTAATGAAGTTCATTTGGAAGCCAGACGCTGTCGCTTCAGGATATGGGCGAGCCAAGTTCTTACATTTTCAGCTAAACAATGTCTTATGGAACACTTCATGTTAAACCGAAAGCTGGGGGAGAGGGAGGAAAGACCGACGCTAGTGACAGCGGCTTGTTTAAGCCGCTCTCGTGACATTCCAAAGGACAGCTTATCGAGCATCGGCACGTTTCTCTCGGGAATCACTGCGCCGGGCCGCCGGTCAGCCGCAGTGACACGAAGGGGCAGGCGGCAGGCGGCAGGCAGCGGGCCGCAGCCACCCGGGAGGGCCTCAAGGCCGCGGGCCGAGCCTTGCCTGACGCCTCCGCTCCCCGCGGCCGGGCAGGGCGTGCCGCCGCCGGGCGGGCAGGGCCGAGCCGAGCCGAGCCGAGCCGAGCCGAGCGACCCTCAGCCCTCCGCCAGCAGCGGCACCGGAGCGGTCCCGCCCCCCTCACCGGGGCCGGGAGAACCCCGCCCCCCTCACGGCGCTGCCCCCGGCCCGGGCCCGCGCGGAGCTCTCACCTGCTTGAGCCGGGAGATGAGCACGGTCTTCACGCCGGTGACGTCCAGGTTGCGCCGCTTCAGCTCCGACTTGAGGTCGATGACGCGCAGGTCGCTGATCTTCTTGCTCTCGGTGGGAGGCGGCGCCGCGGCCGCCGGAGCGGTGGGCGCCCCGGGAGCCCCCGCGGCGGCAGGAGACGAGGCGGCGGCGGCCATCTTAGAGCGACTGAGCGCGGCAGCCGCACGCACAATGAAACCCCCCCGCCCTGCCGGGCCGCGCGGTACCCGGATGGAGGCCGCGGCCGACCTGAGGCGCGGCGCAGGCGCGGTGCGGCTCACCTGGCCTCCGGACCTCCCCGCGAGAGGTTGGCGGCGGGCGGGTCGGGCGGGCGGGGGTGAGGGCCGCGCTGCGGCCCCGCGGAGCCCGCCCGGGAGGACGGGACGGCGCTCGGCGCCGGCCGGGCCCTCGCTTCTTCAGGGAGCGGCGCTGGGAGCCATGAGGTGCCCCGGGGCGGCGCGGGCTGGGCCAGGCCCGGCGGGAGGCGCGGGGCCGGGCGCCGAGGCGGGGCGGGGCCGGGCGGGAGGGGAGGGCGTCCGCCGCCGGGAGCCGGGCCGCGCGCCCCGCCGGGCGCCTCGAAGCCTCTGTCCGGGGGGGACGGCGGAGCGGCGTCCGCCTGCCTTTGTCGGTGCGAGCTCGCGGTCGCGGGCCGCCGTGCCGGGGCCGCGGCGCGTCCGCCCGCTCGTAGCGCCGCGCTCGTCCCCGGCGGCGCTCCGGCTTCGCCGAGACAAAAGCAGAGCTGTTGTTACGCGCGGTGCCGGGCTGGGTCGGAGCTCCGCCGAGTCCCGGCCTGTCGGGCTGTGGAGGCGTGCGTAGCGCGGGGTCCGGCTGCGATCGGTCTCGCTCGCGGTACATAGAGTGCCTTAAGCTTTGTCGCAGCGATCCTCTGTGCTGTCTTCATTCAGAAACTGTGTGCTGATAAGACTGGAAGGATGTGTTCGTTTCACTTAATAAATCTGTTACAAACTTTTTTTTTTTTTTTTTGTTCAAATTAAGCCCGGAATCCGACGGACTGGTTGGTCACGCCTTCCTCTTGTCTGTTTCCAGTGCGGGCATAATCCTTTACTTCAGTGATATCGTTTAACAAAGGCTGACAGCCATCCATTTAAAAGTTAAGCACGTGCTGAAGCCTAAAACGGAATTTGTGCTGATGACGCACTGGAACAGGTTGCCCAAGGAGGCTGTGGATGCCCCATCCCTGCAGGCATTCGAGGCCAGGCTGGATGTGGCTCTGGGCAGCCTGGGCTGCTGGTTGGCAACCCTGCACGTAGCAGGGGGTTGGAATTGGATGAGCATTGTGGGCCTTTTCAGCCCGGCCATTCTGTGATTGCGTGAGCATTTTAAACATCTCATGGTGCAGTTTGGCATGGTAAAGATTTAGTAAAAAGAGCAGTCTTAAGTGGGAGATGTGTGTGTGTTCTTGCTCATGCTGTCCTCTGTGACAACACTTGCACTAACATCTAATTTATCAGAAATGACTGTGAGGTTAACCGATGAACTCCTTAGCTTTACTTTAGACCACAGAAACAGATTTTGTGGGTGTTCGTGTGACTTTCAAGCACTATGTGAATAAGTCCAAATTTTATTTCAGTTCTACTTTGAGTTCAGCCGTGTACCAAAATCTCAGCCAGGATTGGCAGCTCCCTTGCAGCAGTGTTGTACCAGGAGGGACAAACCACACTGCTTTGGTTCCGTCCTCGCTCCTGGGAATGACAGCAGGTTAACAACTGCGCTGCTCACCTGCTTTTATAGCAGTATCTCTACTCGCCTAAACCTTTTCATTTGTTGGTTGATGTCACGCAGATGTCAAAGCTGTTGATTTAAAGAGCCAACAGTGACCATAAAATGTGGTCTCAGTTATCCTGCCTGGAGGCACGGTACTCCATTAGGAAAACAACCTTGACGTTTGTCTAACCTGTTCCTAAAGCCTTAAATAGGGATGCCACTCATTCCTCTGTCTAGTCTAGCCCTTAACTATTGTTTTTCAAATGCCTCATTTTAATCTCTTTTGCTGCAGTTTTGTGTTCTTACTCTGACTCTAAAGGACAGAGATCCTTTTTCCTTTGCACCGTTCTTATGTGAAGACTATTTTGTTCACTCCTTTCTTTTTGGAGTATAAATCCAGATTATTTTCTTTTTTTGATCAGAGTTCCAGAACAGATGACCTTTTTCTGTTGCACCTCCCCAGCTCTTCTCCATTTGTTGCACCTTCTTCAAGTTGCCTTAGTGACAGCACTTCCAACGGTGCATCTGAGAGCTGTGTGCCTTTTTCAGCCTCACAAAGGTGTAATGTGTGCAGTTTGTGATCCACTCTACCTGTTGGTTTCTTTCCTGAACGTTTACTACAATAACTTTTTCTGCAGTTTATTTCTTGCTAAGAGCAGAACTTTGCATTTCTGTTTAGTACATGTGTACATTTTTTGAGATGATTTCAGACCATTGCTGACTTTTGCTCCGTTTGTATTACCTCTAAACATGGTGTTGGGTGTGGGTTTATACTTACAATGTCTAAGCCGTTATGCAAAGAAATGAGGCCCTTTACAGGATATAAACTGCAGGTTTGATGCTGAACTGCTTGCAGCGATGCTTGGGGTACAAGTAGTTTGGGACCAGATTTATATGGTTTCTATCCAGATGAAGTTTCCTCATAAAGTTGCTTATAAAAGGAAGTGTCCTCATAAAAATGTCAATGGAACAGAATGTCAGAAGTCTCAATAAAGCTGAGATCTTCAGTTTATTCATATTCATATAACATAACTGAAAATAAAGTTGGTTTGATTTGTCAATGAAAAATCATGTTGGTTGGCATTTTTCACATTATTTTCAGGAAATACCTCTTATGATCAGGTATATTTGAATTTGCTGAGGAATTTAAATCTATATTGGCTGGTTTCTAACTTCCTGGGGTTGGCTAATTTGTTTGTTGTAAAAAATATGTATATATATTCTCTTTGTCCTTTTACAGCCTCTTTGAAAATCAGTAGATGTTTCAAGAGAAGATTGCTGGGTACAGTCAGGCTCTGAAGTTTGTGGTCAAGTTTGGTTAGGAGACAGTGGTATCTGTCCAAAGAGAAGTGTTTGGTGCAGGTGTTGGTTTTTAAATAGCAACAATGATAAAACTCCCAAACTGTGCTCCTGTAAATTCATTTTTGTCCGTCTTACATGTGAGACACGTGAGAGTTGTGACCATCCTTAGATTTTTTAAGGGGATTTGTAGTTCTGCATAGAAGATTATCTCAGTTTCAGCAGTGCTGACTGATCAGTTCCTTACATCACGCTGAAACATAATGAAGGACCAAACGCCAGCTCTTGTATTTTCTATGGCTTAATGCACTTGGGGTACCCCGTGCACTTCTAATGATTGGGCTCTAAAAACAGTGTTACTCAGTCTTTTAAGACGTGGAGAAGTAGTTCCTGCCACTCTTTGTTTCCATCTTTAAGGCAGCCTCACGGCCAGAGTGCTCACCTGGAGCTGAATGGTGTCTGCCCAGCTTTCTCCTCTTCCCACAGCTGCAGTTTGTCCAGACACCTTTCAGAAAAGGTGTTGGTTGAAGAAAAGGTGGAGAGAGGAGATACGGTGTAACACACCGTTCATTCAGAAGTCCATCTTGTTACGCAAGGTTTCATTCCAGCTTCAGGCTTTTGTTTGTTTGCTTCAGAAAGCTGAAGCTCTAATGCAATATTTTGCATTCTGTGTTTGTTGCTAACTTCATCAAAGCTAGTTATTTCAGCAGTAAATGATGCAGTGACTCAGTTCCTTTTTGGATGTAGCTTTTTTTGAGCTATGTAAGTTAAATGAGATCAACAGGAAGAGTCCATTTTACTTTGAAAGGCACCATCTCCCGGTTCCTGTGTTACATTGCTCAGTTACTACAATTTCAAACTCTGCTAGGAGGCTTTTTGGTAATTCTCACATCAGTCTGATAGAATTCATACCTCTGACCAAGCTTACATTTAAAAATTGCTGGCTGCACTGTTTCTGTCTTCTGGGGAAGAGGGAAAGGCAAGAATGAATGATACCATTTGAGGTACTTTCAGTGGATACATGACAGTAGGTACGTTTTGAACTGAAGGCTCACTGCTAATTTAATACACATAATTACTAGAAAAATAGCTCTTCCACTTTGGATGTATAGCTTTCTTTCTGATGTATTATTGATGCACTGTATGACGAGCAGTCAGAAGACTTCAGGAGTGAGTTTTTGATCTTAAGTCACTCCCATTACAGTTCATACTGACAAGCAAGGGAAGAGGAACACAATCCACTCAGAAATCAAAGGGCAGTATTTTCCTTTCTGTGTCTGCTTGAAAATATATGAACTCGCTAGGGAGTGACTACTGAATTTCTTAGTGATCTTTGAATACGAGGTACTTCTGTTTGTTTAAAACCTAATTGCCTTAAAAATAGCTGCTGATTCATAATTAAAAACCATGTGTTTGGTCACATTATGTGTTCTAATGTGCTGCACAGAAGTTGCATCTCACCTTTCAAAGCCGTATCAGGCTGGATAACATGAAATGGGTGAGCAGAGGCGCCTTCCTGCATCTAAGGTTGACAGTAACAGGGGATACTTTACATTTCCATCTGTCTAAAAAATAAACAGCTCTGAGTGGTGCACGTTACCTTCCAGAGCTTTCAAAAGCTCCGAGCTGAATCACATTAATTCCTCTATTTATCCCCATAAAATATGTCTCACAGCCAGCTGCAGAACTTTATTTTTGACTCTACAAATGCGTCAGTCTCTTTTTTGTTTCCCACTAAAAAAATTTCACGCTATGAATTTTCATGCAGATTTTACCATCATCCCCAGTGGTTTTCACTGGTAAGCTCCTCACCTGGGCTGCTGGGAGCTGTAACGTTTTTTATCACCTGAATATGAATCCCACAGATTTTGCGTGATTATTTTTTTCTCTCATCCTCACAACATTACCATAAGAGGCTGTTTGTTGATTAGTATTAATCATAGTTACGAATTGATGCAACGCGTCAGTATTTGCATTACTATGGTGCATTTTAAGTCTGTGCAGCCACAGGTGATCTAAGGGTCATGGATGGGCTGTTTCAGCTGGGTTGCTTCCTTGACTGCAAGTGATTTTGAGCTCCCTGATGGATGATTTCTGTGTATTTGTGATAGGAGCTGAAGCGTACGCTGTTCACATCACCCTGGACATGACCAGGCTTGCAGTTAGCACAGATCTGAGCAAGGACATCTCTTTCTGAGTGCCTAGAGGGACTGCCTGCCAAAAGGTGGTGTTTGCATGGGAAGAAGCTGTGCCTAGCTTTATTTGTGAGCAAACTGAGGCAGCACTTCAGTGCAGAGCTGTGTCCACCTGGAAGGCTGAGCTCTTAAAGCTGAACTCAGGATAGAGGGTTAGTTTGGGGTTTTTTTTTATTTTTATTTTCTGTTTTTTACTCCCCCCTCCTGAAAATGAAGTGCACTCTCCTGCCGTTTGGCATTATTTTGATCTTAGATAAGATTTGTCTCTGTCTTCAGTTCTGCCTGGTCCTGAGGTGTGCACAGAGTGGTTCAGTTAGAAGTAGCTGAGGATCTCGGTGTAAATGGATAACTGTGTAGGCTGCAAGCTGTTCTGAAATTGGAATTAGTCATTTAGACATTGAGCAAGACTCGATTTAACCTGTTTAACCTTTGGGTTTCTGTAGATACCAAGTCTGAAATCTTTTTCTTTTCTTTCCTTTTTTTTTTTTTTTTTTTTCCTTGAAGGAATGTCTCTGCTGGTGAGCACAGAGCAGCTCTGTATTTCTCCCTGGTAGGCAGTGCCATCTTTGGTGAGTGTTCAAAGCAGTGTTTAAGTAGGAGGAGTCAATCAGCAAACAAAACCAGCTGGTGGATTTCTTTGCTGTTAGGAGGCTCTAGCCAACTTACAGAAAACTCCTTTCTCTCATTTCTTTTAAAGTCAGTCAGCCAAATTTCCATTGCTTTCTTCCCCTTGTTTGTCTCCCTGTGAAAAACCTTTTGACTGAGATGTACTGAGGGTGTTTGTGCATTTCCATGTCTGCATTGCACTGCTGGCTGTTGGTCAGTATCTTGACTGCACAGCGCATTGATTTCACATCCTTGTCCATCGTGCGGGGTAATGCCCAGTGTGTATCCAGACCTACAGTCCCAGTACTTAATTCCATGCCTTTTTGACCTTGCTCCTATTACTCTACCTCTTAACCCCACATATTATTTCAATTCCTGTTTTTTTCCAGCAGAATTTTTCTCAATGCCTGTCAGTTCCGATGCCGGTCATTAACAAAGCGCAGTGACTGCGCAGAGCCGTGGGCGCCGTGCCGTCGGAGCACAGCCCAGCTCTGCCCAGCGTTACTCATGCTCTATTTCTGCACCGTTCCCCATTCTCCCCGGTTTCAGCGGTTGTTTCAGACGTGGCGCAGTGTCAGAGGGCTTACTCAGCTCCGGTGGGATGCAGCGTGCCGCGTTCTGTGTGCCTAAAAGAGCAAAGCAAATAACCTGCTGGTGACCCCAGCAAGCAGTGCGGGCTGATCTGCGTTTCTGCTGTACCGAGAACTGCAGCCCATCCGGAGCCGCTCTGCTCTGCCCTCAGCTGCGTGTTCCTCCCTCGCTCGCACCCTTACACACAGACACAGCACTTGCTGCTTCCGTGCCGATTACGTAGCCGTGCACCTTTTGCGCTCCCTGACATCTCCAGCCGCTGCTTGCTGTCCCAAAGCTCCTTTTTTCCTGCCGGCCGAACTGCGCTGTCTAGGAGGCGTTTATTGGACTCTTGCCTTACGTCCTTCTTCCTTGTTTGAGACATAGTTTCATGTTGTTTTTTCCGCTCCTGCGTTGAGGAAATCCTACCCAGAGGCCGTTCGGGCCCCGCCGTCCCGCTGCGTTGTTCCGCAGTGACCGCCTCGCCGTCGGTAAGGACGCGGGCGTTGTTCAGCGCTGCGGAACGCGGCGGGGCGGACAGGGCGCCGTCCGGCTCCGAGCGGTGCCGCCTCCGGCCGGCAGGGGGCGCCGTGCACGCCGGGAGGAGGGGCTGGAAGCCGGGAGGAGGGGCTGGAAGCCGCGCGGCTGCGCTTTGCGGACTGCTGGAAAGCAGCGCCGAGTGTCGCGCTGCGCCTCGGGAGGGAGCGGCGGAGGGGGCCGCGCGAGAGCGGAACGCCGCCCGCCGTACGGCGGGGCACCGGGGCCGGGCGGAGCGCGAGCGCTGGGCTCCGGGTAGTGCCGGGCCGCGCCGCGGGGTCTCGCCGGAGCCCGTTGGGGCCGTTTCCCCTCCTCCGGCCCTGAGCGGCGCGCCGGCGGCAGCCGCTTCTTCCTCCTCGGCCTCGCTGCTCAGGTACGGGGGCGCGGGGCACGGCGGCGGGGGCTGCGGGCCGCCTTCTGCCCCCGGCGGGCCGCGCTGCGCTCGGGCGGAGCGGTGCCGGCGGCGCGGGGCGGGCTGCGGGCTGCGGGGCGGGCTGCGGGGGCAGCGCCGGGCGGGAGACCCCGGCGGGTGCGGGGCGCGGGGCTTGCGCTGCCGCACGGACCGCCGCTCCGCCGCCGGCCGCCCCGGCGCTCGTCGGGGCTCCGTCTCCTTGAAAGCCCGTCACGAATATTTCCCTGACGGAAATGACTTTTCTTTGCGTGTGTAATGGGGTTTGTTATAACGTCATTTGTTTTGGCCGCCGAGTTGGTATTCTGCCGCTTAACCCCTAAAGAAAAGCCGAAACCCGTCGGATGCATTCGGCCTGCTGCGCCGCTCGTCCGGATCTGTGGGCCGGGAGCGGCGGAGACGTGAAGGTTTGTGAGGCGGGAACGGGAGCGCAGGTAGCGAGAGGCTGGTTTGGGTGCTGCCGGGGGATTGGAGCGACCTTGGGGGATGCTCCATCGGATGGAGCCGGCGCTCCCAGGGCCTGCAGTGGCTGTGGGAAACGATGAGGGAGGCTGGGAGCCTCAGCTGTGCGATTCGTCCTCGTGCTGAGGTATTTCTCCTAAAGGAGCTGTTATGGAGAAGGTGAGTGCTTGCTGCCATTGTAAAACCTTCTTTGAATCCTAATGCAATGACTTCAGCGTGTGACACAAATAGAAGAGCTGACTGCTCGGCACGGAGAGCCTTGATGGTTTCCTGGGGAGTATCTACTACAAATTAATAAAGAAACACTAGGTTTTCAGGTGCTGGATCAAGATTTCTGTTGTCTTTGTTGTAACTAGTGGAAAATTCCAAAGGTAGATTAATTATGGCTATCTAGTGAGATATTTTGGATCTGTTTTTGTTGACAAAAAGAATTGGAATATTTTTGTCACTCCTAGAAACAAAAAAATAGATACAGGTTTTGCTATCCGAGTCGTTTTTCAACAAATTAAATGTATTTAACTCTCCCTTTTGTTGGCTAGAGGGACTTAATGGAGGCCAAAAAGTGCTATTAGCCAAAGTTACTCCCATTTCAGATCATCTCTTGCTGACCTGTGCAAGGTTTGATAGGGGAAGATGTGAACAGCCAGTCACCTCTCATGCCTTTATCCACAGTACAGCATGACCTCCTCATGAATTAATAGGACAGAAACACTGTGTATTTATTTTCTTTCCTTTTACTTAAATAAAAATGTATGACACTAAGCTTCCAGTTTTAAAACTCCTTAAATCCTGCATGTTGAAACATCTATTTATTGAGGATTGAAGCCCTCTCAGCTAGAGCTGCAGTTGTTGGGAGCACAGGGTGACTGGCAGCTCCGAGTATTTGTTCATATTTCACATCTTTGTTAAATGTAGTAAGAATATATCTTAAAAGATCCACAACATTCCCTGTGCAAATTACTGTTTTTTGTAGTGTAGATTTTTGTAACCAGGTCAGTTATACCAGCCTGGTCTTTCACTGGAGGTGCCTGTGCTGCAATAATGTTTATCTTGCCAGCATTTGCTGTGTTTTTTCCAACACCAAGAATTTTTTGTTTCAATTGTTTATATTTTCTCCAACAGTAAAAACATTTGTTTGAGAAGGTACAGGTAAGAGTGCTTCACCCCAGCTCCTGAACTCCATAGGGTCAAGTGTCAAGTATTTGAATAAATGGGGGAAAGTACTGGGGTGAGAGAAAATCAGGACAATTTTATTCACTTCTAAACAGTGGGGATAGTACAGAGAGATGAATTCAGCATAAGCAGGTGTTATTTAAAGCTATATTGAATGCATAGCCTCCTTGAGGTCAGTTTTATCAGTTTGCTGTCAAGTAAAAAGCTTTGAAAACGTACATTAAGTAATGAAGTATAGGAGGCATACACAGCATATGAATAGGATAATCATCTTTAGTCATAGTCCCCTAAGTTTTATCACTGCAAGCAGCAGTGATCAGCTGCTGCTAAGTCTGCCATGCTTTTGTTTAAACAAATAACAGCCTTAGCCTAGGTTTTGTGCTAGTGAACTTAATTTGCAAACAGCAGAGATGGTGTCATAGTTAGCTCCTCAAAGCTTTTTCAGGAAAGTGTTTGCAAAATGATACTGTGTTAAGAATAGTTAGATGTACCTGAAAGGTCAGAACTGCCAGGGGGACTAATAAGGAATGTTCCAAATAATTTTTGATGGCTTTGTAATTCAGGGTTTTTCTAGCTGTCTCTGGAAACAGTACTCATAATATTGGGTAAGGCAGATTTTCACCAGACTTCCTGGTTAAGATCTTAAGCTCCAGTAAAAAAAAAATCCGATTTTGTCATTCTTTTATAAAACTGCAAGTTCCCAAATTCATTGCAATTATGTTTGTCTTGGAAGTTGCTGAAGCCGAAACATTCCTGATTACCAAATCATAATGTGTCTGTCTTAAGACTGTGATTTATACAGTGTTATGTGTAGTTAACTGAGTTTAAGCCTAGGACAGAGCGAAGAAATGTCTAGGCTGAGGGATGTGCCTTGTGGACACTGTCCAATACACCTGCCTGCATCTCTTGTGCAAAGCCAAGCAGGTTCCTTGCTCAAGCAGGTAAGTGCATACTGGTGCTTTACTGATGCTTGGTTGGTGCTAGGATTTCTGTGGGTGCCTTAACTGGCTGGGACTAGCTTGTGTGTATGGCAGGAGAGTGAACTTGTTGTTGGTAGGACTCCGTGCAGAATTGTTGTAGCCTGCCAGCTCATCTAGCTGAGGTGCTTCCAGCTGCGCATGCTCCAAGCGTTCCCTGTGTTCCAGCTGGAACCGGGCCCTGCATCCAGTCCTTGGGAAGAGCTGCTGTGCTGTAGCTGTCCTGTGCTGGATTCTGTTAAAGATGTCAGAGACAGTGAGATGCTTTCAGTAGCCTCTCCGTTAAAATTAAAGCGAAGAGAGACAAAGGTGGTAAGTTTTGAGAGGTGAATTATGTAACATGGCATAACAGAGCCTTCTCTGCCTGTTTTGTAGCCCGCTTGATGTTTCTGTTGCAAAATTACTTCTTTACTGATCTGAATTGTGCTTGGTATGAGAAAACAGACCTTAGAGGTCCTTGAGGAATCTTTTTCAGCCATGAAATTAAGGAGTTTGCTGGGCCACAGGCCGGTTCCTGCTGGTTGCAGTTACTGTGGTCTGACTTGCCTTTGAGACATCTTTGCGAAGATCAATAGGAGTAGTTTGTACTTGAAATGACATTGTTTCACTTGAAGTGTGGAGCCAGGAATGGTTCCTGGGATTGGCTGCTAGGAATAAGCAGCCTGCCTTGCTCTGCAGGTAACTGTAGCACCGCTCTGCAAAGCGTTGGCCCAGTCTTCATGGCTGGGTGTAAGGGAGCGTCCTTGGGAAGCTGCAGGCAAGAACCTGTCTCCAGAATGCTGTCGTGTGGTTGCTAACTAACACTGTGTGCGTGAGTCTGATGTATTGTACCTTCCTGAAGGGCAGAAGGGAAGTGTTGTGTCTGGAGAATTCTCGAGTAACTGTGTTGCTTTTGATGCATTAAATAAAATAATAATTAAAAAAAAAATAGAAATGGTTTTTAAGAGTATTTAATATTGCCCTGTGAATAAAAATTTCAGTTTGGTGCTCCGTAGCATCAGAACAAACATAAATTCAGATTATCTTCTGATTGTTGCTGTTTTGTAAAGATGTGTATATCTTAAACTGTTAGGTTTTTTATTTTGTTTTCTCAATTGCTTGTTTTATTTTTGAGTGAAGAGTAGAAGATCAAAATACAGCGTACTAAAAACTAAAACTATTAAAAATAATTTTTTAAAGCATGGAGTTCCTCATTATGTGGTTAAAATGAAGAAACAAAGGCACAATAAAGTTTTGAAATCTGATGGCACTTGTTTTGCTGGCAGTGGAACTGAATATTGGATGTTTGCGTGCTGTTGCTACACTACATTTGTGTTGTTTTCCTACTTGATAGGTATGAAGGAATAGGGCATGACTGCCCTTTCCAGGCTAATAGGTGCTTTTTCATGGGCTGCTCCAGGGAATTCTTTGTTTTTGTTGGAGCAGGGCACGGTAGCACTGAGATTCGTTTTTCATAGACTTACAGTGGGGGTGCAACTTCTCAAATGGCTCTAAAAGTCCTCTGTCAACTCCCATTGCATCAGAGTCATGCATGAATCAGTCTGGTTTGGCTCTCTGCCCTTGAGAACAGGAAGTAATAGTCCATAGGTTATCTTGCTTTTCTCAAGATCTCGCACAGATTTTGTAGGCTTTTTGTTTACCCACTTTTTGGTGTCTTGATTCATCTGATGGAATAGCCTTGCTGAAAAAAATGAAAAGGTGTATTTTTAATGATAGGAGAAGAATGGCTGCTGTTTTTTCAAGATGCAGGGTGTATAATACTTCCATTTACTGGCCTGTTCCACATTTGCCAGTTCAATAAATGTTGTGGTAGGAACAGTGTACAGAAGATGATCTGTGTGTGTGTCAGGGGTTAACAGAGAAGTCTCCTGATGAAGTTGACAGTATCAGCTTACCATAGTAAAAACAATGTTAAAGTCTCGTAGAAGCCACGTTTTAGGGAAGGGATTTAACTTCAGAAGTTTTAACAAGGTAAGTTTGGTTAACTTCAAAGAAAATACAAGTTAACTTGATAGAAATTTCCTTTCTGAAAGAATGTTAAATAACTTTGCTTGTCTGATGTCACTTTGTAATGGTGGGCAACTGAGGTGGGTATATAAATGGTCTAACCCAGCAGAGAATTCCTGCAGCAGTGAAATCGCAGCATGCTTTCAGAGGTGATGATAGCAGGATGCTCTGCAGGCTCTTGGTGCTTCCAGAGCCATCATGTTCAAAAGACTTTGAGCTGTGTTGTTCTGTAAGCTTAACCCCACATACCTGCATTGCTTGTAAGTGCGTGGGGAGTGCGTTCAGTCAGAAGGGAATGGCTGTTTGTAACCAGAGAGGAGAGGGAAATAGAAGGCAAGGAAAGGAAATCAACTACTACCTAGCTCATTTGTATACGAAGATCTTCTGTTCTCTGCTTTTCATCAAGCTGGCTTTAGGCAGAATAGTTTATTTGGCAGATATGTTCTATGTGGTGAACTGGGCTGAGGTGTGTGTTACACTAACAAGGCAGAGCCGTCGTTGGGTGCCGTGTTCTGAAGATGGGCCAACGTTCTGTGAGGTGGTGGACGCGTGTCAAAGCGTGGTGTGCTTACTGCAGCCAGCCTTGAGGGAGTTGATCAAGGTGCTTTTTAACATGTAAAAAGGAGATAATTTCTCATTAAATAAGGCAAGATGACTATTTTACTGCCTGTGTGAAAACATTTTCAAAATGATGAGAGATTATGCTCATTAATCAAGTTTACATGAAAAGG